GCAGACCACAGCATAGAAGATGGCTGAAGCAACCACAGAGTCATAAAAAGTCTTGAGGAGAGCCCTGCTTACTACGAAGGACCTCAGTCTCCTCAGCAGGTGGAGGCGAATCTGGCCCTTCTTGTAGAGAGCATGGGTGTTGTCAGTCCAGTCAATCCCTGGATGTTTTCCTCCTGAAGTTAACAATCATCTCTTCGTCTTGCTAGTATTTATCTGAAGCTGGTTGAGTTCACACCAGCTGACAAAGTCCCTGATGATGATATTCGTTCCCCTCAGAAACGCATCCAACAATGGCTGTGTCATCGGAGAACTTCTGGATGTGGCAGTGTGTGGTGTTGTGGGTGAAGTCCGAAGTGTAAAGGGTGAAGAGGAAGGGAGAGCACCGTACCCTGAGGGGCACCTGTGCTGCAGAGCACCACGTCAGACACACATTGTTGGAGCCTCACATACTGTGGTCTGTTAGTGAGATAATCTATTGGCCATGCAGCCAGGTGTTGGTCCACTCCCACACTTTCCATCTTCTCTCTGAGCAGTGACGGCTGGATAGTGAAGAAGTCAAAAAAGATGACCCTCACCGTGCTCCTGCTGTCCTCCAGGTGTAACAGGGATCTGTGCAGCAGGCAGATAACTGCGTCGTCCACCCCAATACCAGGCCGGTAAGCAAACTGCAGGGGGTCCAGCTGTGTGCCCACCAGGGGTTGCAGGTGTCTCAGGATAATCCTCTCCATGGTCTTCATCAGGTGTGTGGTCAAGGCAACAGGTCTGAAGTGGTTAGGCTCCTTGGGGCGCGGCATCTTCATTTAGCATGCTGATATTTGTGTTAGGCAGACTACACTGTAAAACAATACTCCCCAAGAAGGCCTGCATTGTTAGTACAAACTAAACCTGTGGTATCCGTATAATTTAAAACATAAGTTTAAATTAAAAAATATATAACAAAATTACTTTAAAACCATCATAGCTTGAATAGTACTTGGCTTCTGGGAGAACATGCTAAATTCAGAGGGGGTGAGTTTGTCATACTCCAAAATCTCCTAATCCTTCTGTCTGGAATTTCCCCAGAATTCTTTAAGTAAGGCAACATTTTTTTAAATTAAAACTTTGCTCATAGTGGAGAACTCCTTTACACGAGATAGGTCCAATCTCCACACCCTCACTCTCCACTCAGGGACTTCAAAGTCATACTGATTTATCTTTCTAGTATTGTCTACTCTGTATATAGAGGGGAAATGCGGGGAAATTTAGTGAGAATGCTTTGTGTATTGTAACTGTAGTCTTTACCTGGGTTGCATGTTTTTGGACTTTGTCCTTCATGATGGTGTCTTGGAGTCAGCAGACTCCTGCCACTCCAGCTCCCCAACCTACCTCCTTTTCGCCCATTTCCCTTTTCATGTCATCCCTAAACAGCCAGTCAGTGGCACTTTGAAGTAAAGGCAAAGGCAAATATGAAAAGAGTGAGTGTCCTCCGTAAAGAGGTGCCTTTTCACTGTGGCTATTCCCCAGTCTCGCCTTGCCTCGGGCCAGCATGGCACTCTACCTCCAGTCGCTAGCCGGCAGGCTGGCACGTTCCACGCTTTATCCAGGAGACACAGATTATCTTCTAATGCTTTGAAGAGGTTGCATGTGAAAAGGACAAAACAGGAACACCTCTCTTCCCAGCCTGCTGCCGTGACATAAATCCTAATGTGGCTAAATTTAAAGGCTCACCATTCAAAACACACCTTGACTCAGTGTGAGGAAGGCAGCAGACTCTGGAGTAGCTAATGTGATTATAGTTAAGCTAAGGGCAAGAGGACACACAGTGAAGGTCTGACTGTGCAGGAGGTTTGTGAACTCGCTTTACAGAAATGTAGCACCTTTTTAATTACAGCTGTACTTATTTTGACTTGTTTAAGCTGTATCAAAGTTCATAAAAACACACTTTTTCCTCCTCTATATATTATTTAAGAACTATCAAGGCAGCACTCATTCTTCAGTCTCCCTTTAAAGATATCTTTTTGGACTTAAGTACATTTACTTCCAATTTACACAATTTTGAGACAATTATTTTAATTTTATGCTATTTTACTTCTCAATATTTATCTGATGGCTGTAGTTATGAGTTACTTGCAGATTAACATTGTACATAGTAGTAACAACCCCAAAGAGAAATAGCATTCCAACTCTACAGTTCCTTTGGGATCTACCTTTAATTTTAACATCTTTCAGCAGTGTTTAATAGGTTCAACTTAAGACTTTTTAAGACCACATTGAATGCAAGCTGAGACCTATTTTACGTCCATACTGGTGGAAAAGTATGATTAAGGAAAATTAGTTTTGGTTCCATTTTGTAGTTGTTACAGCAAAATCAATACAAATTCTTTCCAAAAACACATTAAAAAAGGAGAGTGAAAAATGCAACTTTATACAAGTAACGTTAGCATAATTAATATTATCTTCATTAGTCCTTTTTCAACTTCTAAGATCTATCATATTTAAGGCATGATATTCAGACTTTTTATGACCCCATGGACACCCTGTTTCCAGGTGCAACAGGGAGCAGTTTTCAGAGACCTCAGCACCAAACAGCAGACAGACAGTGGGCATCATGGAGAAACATTCCTTTCAATTTATGTTAGATTTTCTCTTATCTGTTAAAAGAAAACATAAGAGATGCACCAAATAATCTTAACCATCCAAGTACAGGCATTAAAGTAAAATCAAAAACCCAGCAAAAGTAAACCATCTGATGCTGTAAATGACATGTCAGCAAAGGAAGGTAAATGGTAAATAGACCTATGAAATGAGTTTTGACAGCATTTTGATGTTTGTGGGCATGCTGGGAAAACAGCAGACGGACACTGATGTGAGAAAGATGTTCGTGCACGAGGCTCCGCGGGCCCGACGGTACCAGCAAAGGTAACGTCAGATCAGTAACAGACTGTTACGCATAGGTCACGCAGAGCCTTGACATCATATCCGGGGGATAATGTCAGTAAATTCGAGTTAAAACACAGACTTCGCTTATCCCATGCGAATGCGCCGCACGAAACACAGACGTGGTGGGGTAATTACTAAATCACATGAGGTCCCCAGGTAATACTAGTCCCGTGCGAATAGGGCTTTTGCATCCATTAATCCGTCTCATCATAAAGATCTGTGTATTCTCTAAAAACATGTTCTCTGTGTAAGGCCTGGATGGCCAGAGCATTTAAGAGCAGTTGCAGGAACACATGCAATATCATTCCAGGCTTTTCAGAGTCTTTATTGGAATCAATTAACCAATAGCATCTCTTCAGCCTACTCATTTAATAATCCATTTCATAATTACATTAAAACATATCAAGATTTGCTTATATGGTATTCATGCATTTTTGTTATGTTCCTCAAATGAAAACCATTTTCTTTCCACAAACAATTTGTGGATTGTGAAAACAAGACGTTTTGTTCTTATCTTGGTAAGAGTGCTCTCGGCACAAATTGTTTCTTACCTCAGAGAAAAGCCAAAACATGAGTGAATCCCAGAAATCAATGGCTACTAATAATAAAAAAAACCACATTGTGGGTACAAACTAAAATAGGAGAAAATGTGTTTGTATACTACTTCCTGCTAGTTGGTTAGCAGCTAAAGAGCCAGATATTTTCACAGCAGTTGGTGGAGACCAAAAACAAAGCTAAGAGAGATATTGGACTTACATTCATCAGGTCAAATGCAACAGACTTGAACCATTTAACATGTAGATCAATACAGCAAGGATTTTACTCCTAACAAGATACAGCAGTGAGCTGCTCTTTCAAATAACCATATTTATCATTTGACGTCCATGACTGTGAGATCGAGGCGCTCATTACTGAGGTTGCACTGTGAAGGTGTATGGTTACAGGGTGGGGGCTCAGTAGTGGCACCTCAAACAAGAGAAATCAAGTGGAATGGAAAAAAGTGACAGATGCAGCGAACCATGTTTGAGCCACACTGTGAACTTCAGCTGACGTTAAGAAAATATGATCAGACCTGAAAGTTGAAGCAAAAAAAGAAAGAAAAGAATTGCTGCTCATTGAGAGTGTGGGTACCAGTGTTACAAGACAATGGTATAGAAAGTTATCACTGAGAAATGAACTACAGAGTAAAATAATAGTTAAGAATGCATTTGTATGAATAATGTGATATATTATTATTACGTTTAATATTGTTGGATGTATGTGCGCTCTCTCCAGCACCAAACATTAACTAGCAAACAGGGTAGTTACAGGGTAGGACAAAAAAAACCAAACATACAGTCCCAGCTCAGCATTAGAGAAACTCCTCATGGTATCTTTGTGCAGCTCCCTGGTCTTGTCACAATCAAAAGCTTAGAGAAACACCTGCTGGTTACCCAGTTTTGGCCGTTTGTCAGTATTTCTGGACTGGGTTTACTTTCTTCAAAGACCCAACTGACTGTTGGTTCAAAAGTGAATTTAAAACAGCAGTTTTGATTTATGAAGAGAAGGGAAACTGGGAAACTTTTTGTCCAGGGGGATCCAGAAACTTCTAAACCAACTCCTACATCAAATGCGCAAGAAGTACAGACGAGTACTGAGGAGCAATCATGAGCTCGCTTCAAAGTAGTATGCAAATCCCAAACAGGCCTTCAAAAATCCCAAACTCAAGTAGAAGCTCCAAGAATATTTGACGAATCAAACATTTCAAGCCCCAATGAAGCCGTTTCATTGGTTAATTATCGATTATATCCAAGATTACAAATGAAAGCTGTTTGGAAGAATGAAGATCAACTTTTACAAGACCATAACCCTTTCAAGTTCTAGTGTGTTTTGTTTGACTTAGCTCAAAAGCCACAGACAGACAGACAGTAGAAAACCTTACTGCAAGACATTTATTTTCACACTATTGATTTGGTATATTTAGTCAGCAGCCCCTACAAATGAATGGAATTAATGTTTTGCTTTTTTATAATGTTCTGGTGATTAAACGACACACAGAAGTAAAAAAACAAAAAAAGAAGAAGAAAGCTTGAATAATCGGGTACATGTTTAAGTGCATTTAATACAGAGATGAAACAACAGGAGGCGATTTAAACTCAACGAAAACAGCATTAGAGAAGTGACAGAATAGTGGAGAAAATATAAATAGCAAGAGAAAAATGAAAACATGTATAAAATGTGTTCATCAAGGATAAATATGTACACTGATGCAGCATCCCTTCTTAAACATACACACAGACAGTAAAAAGAGATTTTAAAATGTGGACAGGGAAGAAGAGCATCAGGGTTTTATTCTTCTCAACCGAATCTCTTAAATGTTAAAATAGAAGCTTTATAAAAGCTGGAAGCTATCACAAGTTTACATTTTGAACGTGGTTTAATTATAAGTAATATTATTTTTATAATCAGGTGAAATTAAGTGTACTCCACTACAATAAAATATTAAATGTCAGTTAATATAAAAGGATCTCTCACAGAGTTAAAAAAAAAAAAAAAAAAAAAAAGCCACAACACAGAAAGGGTCAAGAGGTCAACCTGGTAACTTTAACTAGTACATAAAACACACAAACATCTTAACAACCTGCATTTGTTAAATAGAAATACCTCAACATCTAAAATTAGAAATAAAACTGGCATCCTGGGACATTTGGGGACAGCATGAAGTCCCCATTTTAACCAGAGTACAGACATGATGTTAACTTGGTCTAAAATTAGTGTTACACTTCACTGAACAATACCAACAACAGGAACCAACCAGGAAACTGAATGGGCAATATATAAACACAAAAAGTAACAAGTGTGGTAAAGTATGTTAACAAAAAAAACCAACAACTATTATGTCAAGATAATCCATTAACAATTGCAGACAAAAAGCAGAGCATCCTTCATTTTTTTTTTTTTAAGGGTAAGGCAAACCTCACCAGAACCAGTGGTAATCACACACCTGTAGCCCCTAGCATGGCGCAGTACCGTTCCAGTTATTATAGGTATTATATGTTTCTTGCAAGTTGTCAGCAACACAGACATTTGAGCTGAATAGATCACATGGTAGGCATCAGGTTGATGAACAATTGGTTTATTGTTTTAAACCAACTTGGCCCAAGTGACAGCTAGTAAGCAGTCGAAGAGTAGCTGGACAATTCTGGTACTGCCACATATCAGATTGAAGTATGTCCTTAACTACAGTGCTTCGTTTCAAAATGTGTCAAAATTCCATTTCTTCTGGGTTTGGAAAGTCTGTGCAGAGCTCCAGTATGGACAAATACTAGTTTGCCATAGGTAGCTTCAACTTTATACACATTCACCTTTTGGGTCAGATCTTGCTGTTAGCGGCAGCCGAGGCAAAAGAGGTGGAAAGATGGGTCAACTCAGTGGGTCCTCCCAAGCAGCAGTGTCTCAGAAGAGGTGGGTGGTCGAGCGACTGAATGTGTGGTACTTCCTCTCAAACATGGAAGGCAGATTGACCATGGATGGGGAATGGTGTGCCTGTAAATAGAAAAGAGAGGAATGAATAAGAAGAAACATGAGTATGAGGGGGAGGTGAGAAAAGGCTGAGATAAAATGTTAATACCTTGATGTTATTAAAGAATCACTCTGGTTTGTTAAACCTTGGCTCATGTTTTTGGCCTTTCTCCATATTGCTAATTACGTTGTACTCTCCAAGTTAATTGCTGAGTAGCGATAGACCAATTAATCGATTCTTAATTGAGTCGATTATCAGGTGTGCTTACTTTTGTATTTAGCTTCCAAGAAAATGGCTGCATTTATCTGGCTACACCTGTGACTTAAGAACTACAACTGACTGGTTGTCCAATTAGACTTCGCTGTAGCAATGTTTCCATGTTTCCAGAACTCAGCAATTACTTTGGTGAGTACAATGAAAGCAAAAAGAAAAAGGCCAAGTAAACTAAAATATCTTTTAAATAACCTTGAATGACACTGAAGACGTGGTAGTAGCATTTGGAACAAGAAAACATTAGTTCAAGTGTGAATGTATGTTCCCTCCGCTCCTTCAACTCAATACCAGCATCCCAACTCCACAGGACTGTGTGTGTGTGTGTGTGTGTGTGTGGTCAAGGACGAGGTCTGTTTATGTGCTCCAGCCTCATTTAATTACTGAGTGCACAAAGACAAACGCTCTTACTAGCTCCTTTCTGCCTTCAAAGCCAAATTTTGGCACCGACCTAATCGAGACAGGCAACCTTTGCCAACACAATCACACTTCAGTAGCTTTCCACCTGGCCACACACACACACACACACACACACACACACACACACACACACACACACACACACACACACACACACACACACACACACACACACACACACACACACACACACACACACACACACACACACACACACACACACACACACACACACACACAGTGCTGTCTATGAGCATTTCGGCAGAGGCACTGACTCTCTCCTGCCCTCTGTCTGTGTCAGCTGGTGATCGGTAAAGTGAGTGGCGGCCTTCATTATATGTTAGTAAGTGGTGCTGGAGGGCTTCAGGAACACACAGGATGATCAAAGGGCTGAATGAATGAGTAGATTAACAGGCTGCCTGCACTGGAGAGGAAGACCAGGTCAAGGGCAGCACTGGTCACAATGCAAACATCTGACCCTCATTACACACCTGCCATAATCTGAGCTTGCATGCTAATGAACACTTGTTTTGCGCAAGTGTGCATGAAAATGTCTCCATTCGAGTGCACACACTCAACAGACTGCCCCTGCTTCCAGTGATATATTGCAGAGGTGTTCTCACTCTCAACACTAAAGTTTACCCAGATGTGGGTTTTATTGGAGCGTGTTAAGAGGGGCTGATCACAATGCTGTGGCAGCAGCCTTTTACCAGCTCCATGGGCTGTACATCAAACCTGAGGGAGTGTTACTGGTTTCAACAGTCTGTGACAGACTGCAGGAGGAAACCAGTGCGAAAATCTTATTCTAATTTTATTCAACCACCAGGTGGCATCTGTGAGTGGAGTCCATGACATTGCGCCTGAAGGCCCACATACTGTACAAAGGTCATAGTCCTGAAGTAAAATGCACTTCACTGCACTTTGGACTAAGACTGTCACTGGTTGCCAATCATCAGGGCTCCAGCCTTGAAGCTGTATTGTCATTTATCAGCATTTACACTGAAACAAAATGTGTCTTTTTGACCCATCCTGTGCACTTGGAGCAGTGGGCATTTTGACACATGGACAGGGGAGCCAAGGGAATAGACAACGCTACAGTTAATGGACACCCAGCTTTTTCTACTGACAAGGTTCTCACTCTTTTTAAAATATTATTTCCCTAGACTTTTCTAAGACATTGGACTGGCAAATTACTTATAATATGATATTTTAGGTTTGTGATGTTGGGATGCTTCCCACATAATGAAGTGAATTGATGTATTACATTTATTGCCAAATTCATAAGAATAATTGAAATGTTGTATACAATGTTTTCTCAACAGATACTATACACCGTACTCAACAAATACAAAAACTGCACTGTTTTTGAAGGCAGTCAGTTAACTTTTTCCCCATGCTTAAAATAAATATATAAATATATTTTCGGTGTAAAGTGTTTACTGTCAGGAACGTTTTATAGACGGGAGTATGTTTGTCTTCCTTCATACATGTAAATGGTGAAATTAGTTAAAACTGTGACATCTGCTTCTTATCTTGGCAGGCAAGACATACTTCAGGCTGTGTCTCTGCTTCCTAACCCTGTTTTGTGTGGTGATACAGAATCACACATTATAGTGTTTTTATTTAAATGTAACAAAGAGTCTTAAAGCGTCAACAGGAAAATCCAAATCATATAGCTGATATATTTTGGTACGGCAGCTGCTGAAATTAGCCACTGACAGTTAAAGTGCTGCAAACCACACTAAAGGCTAATTCATATATCTAAACTGTGCAGCCCTGCTCTTCCACTGCATGTTTAGAAAGACACATTTAGGTATTCAAAGTCAGGTACGTGCTGCATAAAAAGATTTAAATAAAGAAAGGGTTGTGCCTGCTGTGTGTAACATGCACCGTTTTGGAGAGGTCCTAGTATGCTCTATACTCTGCTAATGAGTTGGTCCAAGCAGGTGGAAACGCAAGTGAATATTATCCATAGAAAAATGTAGTGTGGTCCTGCTTTTGCAGTCTGTATGATTGATTGAGTTTTAATTTTTCTATTTGGTTTTATCATTTCTTTCCTCTGGCCACCATGGTTCCGTAGCCCAGAGGTTTTGCCTGTGTTTCCCAGCAGTAGCAGCTCTGAGCCTATTTCATTAGGGGTCAGGTAGGGTCCTGATTTGATGCAGAGGTAATTTCTGATAACAGGTCAGTTTGGTACAGAGCTTTGCAGGTACAGGTTAACAAAGCAAACAAGCTGTTTTTTAAACAACGAGTTAAGCCAGCACACATTTGTAGGATAAGAGACCGTGTACACACGCATGCAGCACACACAAGTCACGAAAAAAGCAAGCTAGGCTTCCAAAATAAGGTTGGAAAGACCCGATTGCTGCCCTGCTGCATGTGTATGTGGCTTAACAGGGTACTAAAATGCATGTAGAAACACTAATTGTTATTTCCTGAGCTCAATCAGATAGAACCCAGTGCATCACATCTCTTGATTAATGTAGTTACTAGATGGCCTTAGCTGTGGTCAATGCCAGTAGGGTGGTCTTTATTTCAGGCGAGACATGGGTCTACAAACTAAGCATATGGATGTAGGATATGGAATGCAGGTTTCTCTAGTGTTCTGAGACTTGTATCCAACCATAACTACCATAAAAAACACAGCTGCTACACTGAACATTTCACAGCCACAAGTAATGAGCATTTGATACATATGCTAGATTTTCATTCATTTACTTGTTCCTTAGTAGATTGTGTTCATGTATATTTATTTGGTGTGAATTTGATCAGTTTCATCTACTTTAATAAAAACATGTATTAGGTTATCAGCTGACGCATTATGTTTTGTCCAAACATTTGAATGCTTAAAACCAAATTGATACACAAGATAGGACTATAATGGGCAGTTCCTAAACTGGTGTGTTGTTTGGCAGGTTGCAATGGAATGGCTTGCATATGGTTCATTGAGAAATGGTTCAACAATGTCCAAATAGATAACACTGTCATTCTGTTGTGTCAAAACCCATTTCTTAAGCACGAATACCTTTCAGGTAGAGCAGTGTTCATTATGCACGCAAACTGGTTAAATAGCTGAGGTGAATATTGAGACATAACATGCTCATCGACTCAGCTGTCACAAGTGGTTAAAATGTGGAACAGAAAACATGTGACCAGCCACTGCACGTTAAACCTCAGATGTGAAGGCAACCTGGCTCCTATGAATACATTGACATTTTAATTTTAGTGAGCTGTTTTTGTGTAAACTAGCCAAAAACACACAAAGAGCATTGCATCCAAAATTAAAGGCATGCCTTGACATTTAGATTATTTCTCTTGATATTTTCTTCTACTGGTACTTAGATTAGTTATTCAGGTTCTTTCGAAAGGATCCGTTTAAATTGAAAGAAATATCATGAAAAGACAGAGGTGGGACCAAGTCAGTTTATGTGCTAGTCACAAGCAAGTCTCAAGTCTTTGTACTCAAGTCCTAAACTTAAAGTTTCGAGTCCCTAACAAATGATAATGCACCTTCACCAAATGCAGTGCCATTTATCAACAGATTTTTTTTTGTGTCATTTTTTCCAACTGGCACCAAGTAATCATTAGTTCTTCCTAGTTCTCTCCTGCAACTCGATTGGATGCTGTCGGATTGGCTCAAACATAGTTTATTTTTAGTTTATGATCTGGGGAATTAGCGGTCAACTTGCCGGGAATGAATAGTGTTAACATTAGTTATGTTTTAGGAAAGTGATTGATTACTGGCACACTTTAAATAACATAATTTTTCATATTTGACCTTGGGGGAAGGTATCAAGTATTTTCAAGTCAAAACATGAGCTATTTGACTCCAAGTGAAGTCACAAGTCATTGCAAGTTTGTGGAGTCTAAATTCATGGCATTTGTAACTCTAGTTCAAGTCATGTGAGTCCAAACCTCTTAAAAATGTCTATTCATCTGAATGATTAATAATTCAATTCAATTCAATTATAATAATAACCAACCCTTTATAATGTGCACAGATCTGTCTCAAAAACAAAGTATTCTGTATGTGACGGCATGCCTTTAAAGAAGCCTTTCTCCCCCGAGGAAACGCAGGCTTCCACATGGACAAAACTCTTTTATGTCCCAGCTCTGCACCAGCCCAGCTCCATTGTTCCCTTATGGATACAGCCCACTATTAACAGCAGCCACCTAGTGAATATTCCCAGCCACCAACAACACCAGTTAGTATCCCAGGTGATTCAGAGTAACAGAGCTATTCCAAATCAACCCTTAAAATCTCTGCCCTTTACACAAATCTCAAATGGGGAAAAGCATTCTGCCAACACGAGTTATACATTTCTAACCCCTTCTCATCTAATCATTGAAGTTCAGCTGTAGAACAAACCCTTATTAATCTTATCCATCTCTGTGGTAGGGTTTCAGCTTCTAAGGAGTTGATTTGGGACAAGAAGTGCACCAGTGCATGTTAAAAGGCCAACAGAGTGTGTAACAGGTTGTAAGTATTCATTTGAAATAAAAAAAAAATGGTATTGGTGCACCCCTAGTTGAAACTAGACCACAATAATGTTTGCTCACGTCAGACTCCAGGACTGAGCTTAGCGATGGTTTAGAGCAGAGTCTCCTTGCGAGGACTGGTCAGGACACATTTGCGTGGGTCCAAGGGGACTAGGGTATCCTTGCATGAGTCAGAAAAGGTCCTGCCTTTGACATGAACAGGATGAGGGGCTGGGGACTTTGTTTGAAACCCCGCAGAGGGGAGGTGTCTGGATACAAGCTGGCTAGATCTTGACTGGGAGTTTTTGGAGTTTTGGACAGTTGGAATGGAGGTGGAGGTAGAGGTGGGATGGGTTGAAGTGGTGGACTTTTGGGAAGTGTAGAGGCCTGAATGAGGTTGTGCTGGTTGGGCCGATAATGGGGCATGAAGGATGGACTTGCGTTCTCGGGTGGTAGGGCAATAGTTGGGGTAGAGGCTTTGGTTGACCTCAGGGGCAGTGTTGGGGCCGGGGCTATGGGCTGGGCTGCAGGGGGTACGTACACAGACAGGGACCCTGGCTCTGACAGGAGGATGGTCCAGAGAGTTAGACCGCTGCACCACGGCACTGCACTTGGCAGAATCACTCAAACTGAACGTGGAGGCAGAGCGAGACATCTAGAGTACATAACAGAAGGAACACATATGGAGCAGGGATTTACATATCATGAAAAAACACAAGAGGAGACAGGGAGAGAGTATACATGGAGAAACACAATGAGGGAGAGTATTTTATCCTTTCTCACACAACACACACAAGCATGTAAACTAATTAACTGATTGAATAATGGTAATGGACACAATCACTGCTGATTTAGAAGCACATTGACACATTTGATGAATTAATGACAGCAGAGGTGCTACAATGCCCACAGCCGTGCGTAATGGTTGTGCTTCTCCAAAATGGGAGGTGATCTGACCACCGTCTACTGAAAGTAATACACTGTCGATGGAGAAGTATCTCATACAACCCCATTTCAAAATACTGGAACTATATCTTTAACTAATATGGGCGAAAAGTCTATAAATTATTGCATTACTGGGGACAAGGTTATAAGTAAGCTTGACTTTTCCTCACCTCTTAACATTCAATTAACCATTTAAACAGTTACCATAAAAACAACACAGCCTAGAAAAAGTTTAAGAGAACGTTTAGGAGCAGAAGCCCATTTCCTGTTTTTTAATCTAGTTAGATCAAAACGACTGACACCGACTGAAAGCTGTTCCACCATGGTTTGATGGAGAGATCAATTGCCTGGTTCTCAGCAAAAGGAGAAAGAGATGGAGAGAATAGAAAGGAAATGAGGAACTGATGGACAGATGGATGGACAGAGAGACAGCCAACAGCCCCCCAGTATTAATTGTGATGTTGAACAAAGTAGACACATTTTGTAAACACTCCTGGAAGTTTAGGAAACTTCGCTTGATTATTGAAGGTAGTATTTACTAAGTGAGTAGACCAAAAACACAGATATTGCTCTTTCAATCACAAAGAAAATGTCTGTTTCTCATAAATTGTGAATGAGTGACATAATATTACATGCTGTTCAAAAGTTCCTACATTTGTGTATCAGATAAGCTTGACTGAGTCAAACACAATACATTACACATTTTTAATTTGGTGTGGCTACAAGTAGAGCTCATGTTATAGACTAATGATTTCAGGTAAACAGAAAGACTTACAGCCAACGTGGAGCTGCTGCCGATGCGGTTCTCACAACTCAGCCTCTGGCTCTTCTCATCCGGAGTACCGCTGGCCATGAACGCCCTCTGGATCACGCGCTTCGGGGTCTTGGTGAAAGAAAAAGCCCTCGTCACCTAGTACACAAACACACACAAAATGTTAGTAAAAGTAATAGGTCTTTTTTATAGGTCTCAAATGTTTGGGGTTTTTTTTTTTGCACTGAACATGTTGGATTTTTAGCCACTTCATTTTCAATATCAGTAGATAGCATTCTTTTTCTCTTTTTGCACTTAGGATCCATCACTGCTGAGGCCAATTATACAACACACAGAACTGTAAGACTTTAAGATCCCAGGGACACTGTGTTGTGTGTAAGTTTTGTTTCACCACAACAGTATGATAAAAATCAGGAGTGCAATCACTGTCATACTTATACTTGATGCTGAAGTGGAAAAGAGGGAAAGAGCTAACAGATGAGAGAGGCGGGGAAAATCGCGAGCACTGTAATTGTTTTTGTGCTAAGCTATTAGGTATCCCTGCATTCTGAGCTTCCACAAAACCATTAGCCATCTACTGCAAAGGATCAGCATCTGACAAGTCACTGTTTTGATACGAAGCCAAACATTTTCCAGCAGTACTACAAACTACTACTACTACTTAAACAGTTTAAATGGTTTAAGTAGTCATGTCCACAATAAATTAATTCTAATTTCCTGAACAGATAACAGCTATTGACCTCTACATATGCCGTTTAAGGTCACCATATGAGGAAAAGCAGATAACTGCAGAACACCAAGAAAAAAAGAATTTGGTAGAATGGCTGGTAAGACAGTCTTCATCAAAGTCTCTTTAGCCTTTTCCACCTTCACTGCTCTCAGTTCTTCCCTCAGATATTTCCTTAAGCAGCTTAAAAATCAGATAAACCATTTTTTCTATACACAGTTTGACTATGTTACATATCTTTATCTGCTTGTTCCAAAGATTCTTTCAGGCAGTATCATGCTTCTGTTCTGCTAAATATTCAAATCCTTTGGCTGCCCTCTCTGGATAAGCTGCAAAGAGCAGCTAAACAGCATCCAAGTCAGATTTCAGTCCCAGCCCATTGTTTAATGACTGCACAATTACATCAGAGGGAAAGGTCTGTACTAGGTGTTTTGTTCCTAATGTCATTCATGTTTTTGTGTAATTCTGCCTAAAATTATTTCTATATTTACCTCATCATCTGGACTACAATTTAGAAAGTCCTGTCCGTCTGAACAAGGGCTGTACCAAAATTAGGACATTTGGGTCTACACAGAGTTCAGCATTTGAGGTTGAGGCTGCTGACGGCTCTGTCAGTGTCACTGGACAGCAGTAGAGCATCTGGTTCAAAACTACTGTAGCCGACCTCGCTGTATTGAGCACTGGAGTTGAGTGTCAGAGCAGCGAACACAATCGAGCTGCGCTATTCTGCGTTGTGCTGCCGTCTATTTCTATAACGCTTTGTTGTGTAGGTAGATACTTTTAAGACAAGACTGTAAATGTAAATAGCTTAACAATAAGGTGAAAAGACATCCAAAATCATTTGTGGCAGTCCCAAATTACAAGCAGTTGTGCCGAATCTTGTCCTGTTTGTCAGTAATGGATAATATGAACAAGTAATAACGAGAGCTGTATGTATGCTGTGACACTTTCTGAATCTCTGAAAATATTCTGGTCAAAACACTTATGTGGGCTATAATTCCTGTTTTTATTTATTATTATTGATGTGTTTACATATCTATTACACTGATTAGATAATTATAAATAACGGATAATGTTGATGTCATCTGACCTATGTCAAAGCGAAGCAATCAGTGTGGGAGGAATGTGTGATAAAAATATCTAAGAAATGTGTTTGTAAACTCCTGAAGCGTAATGACATTAGTGGCTGAAAAGACTTTTACTCAGGGTTACCACTCTTTTCAAGAAATCCTTTTCAAGGAGATTTTCTTGACACTTGTTCACCAACGGTCATATGATTTAAGTACTGACCCATTAAACCCCAGGTTTTACACAGCTTATCCTACCATCAGTCAAGTTTCAAACAAAATACGCAACCAGGTTTATGTAAGCAATCGGAGTAAGGGACTAAAATACAATAAAAAAATTCCAGTACTATATAAAAAATGTTCAGGATTTTTGGTCATATTACATACCTATTAACTATACGTAATGGTTCGTGCGTCACTGACCTGGCTGTGCCCCACTCAGAAGACAAGGCTGTGACCACGCCCACCTCCAACTCCCCCATTTGGAATTTCACCCATTCTCATCTGGACAACCTAACTTACATGATATACTCTGTGTACAACGATGCAGCTAAAAAGAAGTGTAATGAATCGGCTGACAGTTGAGTACGGGGGATTCTCAACTGATGATTCAATTCATGATTGTGTAGAGTGCAGCCCTAGTCTGAACAATGCTTGGCTGCTCAACATGTATATATGTGTTACGATGACCTGTCCCTGCAGAAGGTGCAGTTGGAAAGGAGAAACCGATTCTTCTGCCTTTACCTTTTTAGAAGTCTTCTTGATGGCCCTGGAGGCTTTGCTCAGGGTGCTGTCCATATCCTTGGTGCTGACCTGCAGTGAGTCCGGGTCTGTACACTGAATCAGGTCCTCCTGAACACAATACAGCCTCAAACTCAATATCATAAATCATGACCTGAAGTGTGCAATTCATGTAATGAATACCAATAGATACATTAGGCTTTGCTGCCAACATAGTTGCAAGAAGGGAAGGATTCACACACAGTCTTTATTTCTCTCTTCCCCTCACCCTGCAGTGGGCTTGTTAACAAGCAGGGCTCTATCTCGTTGGTATTCACAGTGCAGCACTGACCCAGTGAAAAAGCATTAGGAATGCAGCTGCAAGGCGGCAGGCAGACAGAGGCCAACATCGCCCCCTGCTGCTTGCTCTGCTAAATACAGCAGACAGCCTCACCTCCATATCTTTTAGTGGGCTCAATAATCATCAAGCTTAATCAGCCCATAACAAGTCGTGGGGCACCCCACTGCACTGGGCGACATGTTTCTTCTTTACCATGAACATACATTGACTAAATCCTAAATTCACCTTCCTACTGGCAGAAATACTCACTAGAGCTCCAAATGTGGATTAATTCACAGTTGAAAATAGTCACCAACACAGCCACGATTTCCTCCTGGCTGAGTAACGTTTGGTAAAAACTGCAGAAGATTACTGAGCCTTTCGAAAACTATAAATCCACTTTTTTGAGTTGTTAAATGATTTATTATACCAACAACTGATCCTGGTGCCAGTATCCACTTGTAGTAATGTCATTTGAAAAGACATCAAGAAGATGTGATGCAGACTGCTGCTACTACGGTAGTCGTTTCCAATGTTGATCATTGTTACCATGTTTGGGGCAAATTTACGTCCTCCCCTAACACTCATTCCTGGTCCATATTCTGTCACTCTCCATTGCTAAGCTAGCAGTGAAAAAAATGTGAGGGTGAAGACTCCGAGTGACTGGACTCTATCACTGCTTTCATTGCAGGTCTGACAGTTGTTTCTATTATTCTGTCCCACCTCAATGAGAGTAGGGTAAATAACAGACACAGCTCTCTACACTAAAGTTCAACACCACAAACTACAGCTAGTTTGAACAAAAACACATTATGACCTTCGTGAAGGGAGGATTTATTGCAGGACTGTTGTATGAGACTGCATTCGTTTTAGCTTGGTGTACAGAATAAACTTCTTTGGCACTTTATTTGGCATCACACTGATCCATAAAATAACTATCTGCACAACTGTGGAGCCATAAATAAAACAAGAGTAAACATATTAAATGTGATTTAGTATTTCTGTGTTTTTTTTCTCTGAAGTTATTATTTTATTAAAAACAGATTCTGCTGTTTTACTTGCAAAAATAGCTATTTATGATAAGGGTGCTCGGATCAGGGTTTTTGGGGCCAAATTACAGAATGATGGGGGGGGGTTTGCATATACTATTTCTAGTATATAGGAGGTCATTTTCCATCTCACCATTTTAAGGTAAAGGTGAGCGAACACACACACACACACACACACACACACACACACACACACACGGAAGTAAACAAGTCGCCATTACTGCAGTACAGGAAGGAATTTCTTTGTTTTTACAGCTCTACATTTTGTATCGGACATGGATAGTAGAAGGTTTTTCTGTTCCAAATTTGCCAGTAGCACAGCGCTTTCAGCCTGTGGCTTAAGGGTGGCGACAAGACGAACACTAGACCACTTTGTGTTTGGAGAGGAAAAAGTTCCATCAGCAGTTTACACTGAAAGAACCTTTCTAGGACTATCACAGCTTTCTTCCCCTTCCAGCCAATCTGTCAAACTACCTACTTTCTTTTTGTACAGTATGTGTAGGCTTACCGCATCAGCCCTGCAGATGGTGTTGGCGACGTGGCGGCAAAGTGATCGTAGCCAGGTGCTTTTAACTGTTTCCTCTCCCACCAGTTGGAAGCTGAACAACAAGTTCTCCTGTTCAGTTGGGGGGCGAACCACCAAGGCAAATGCGTTCGCACATTCTGAAAGGGAGGCAGCAAAAGAGCGAGAGATGGACAGAAAGTGATAGAGTGAATGTAACAAAATAAACAGCAGTGACAGAAAGAAGGGAGATGAGGACGATGATGGAGGAAGGGTGTTGGAGAAGGAGAAAGGGAAGAGAAACAGATGGAAAGATAAGAGCAGAGAGAAGTAGTGGAAACAAATCAACTTCAGTGCTTCTTCCAAACTCCATAAACATCAATCGTTATTGTTCCCTGTGTGAAGACACCCTTTGTCTCTGAACAATGTGCTCTTGCATGAAAGCACAGGAGTAGACAAAATAAAGGAAACACTTGCTCTGTGTCACACTGAAATTGGGCTACTGGAGCTGTGTTTAGGTAGGAAAAACTCCTGGACTCCAAGACTTTGTAGAGCAGTTTTTTTTTTTTTTTTTACCCCTGCTGATTAGCAAGAAAGATGGGTAGCAGCGTGTAAGGTTATGCTTCTCTACCATTACTGTGTGGCTTCATCAGCATCAAGACTGCTCTTGTTAGTTATTCCATGATGCTGATTGACTTTTATTTGCATTTCCCTTTTTCACCTATTAGACATTTCTGTTGTAGTAAAATATTGTGACCGCAGCACTCATTGTTATCTAGGCAGAAGACTGTACATTAGAGATACAGTATGTTTAAAAAAAAACTTCAATAAAATGACTAAGGAGCTGCTAAAATAGGAAGAAATAATATGAAACTAATACGACAGAGGGAATGGCATGCAGTATTTGTGGACTATTTCTTCAGTGTCTAAAATCCCTGCTTTGACTATATGCACTATATTTAATGTTCACCATTTACTTTGAGGGTCCAAATAAGTGTGAAGTCCATTCTCTACATAGTTCTACTGACAATATATCACTGCAATGTGTCACATTTTACACATGCAAAACAACAAATTTCTATTTACTGCTCAATAAGTATTGAGTGTCTGTTTTATGGGAAATAGTGAATGAGTGTTATTTAGACACAGCTCGCAGGACTACACTCCTCATGGAGGTCGTCTCATTGTGGTTTGTGTGTCCATTGTGTAGAGGGACACTTGTATGCAATGTAGGTGACCACAGAGGAGTGAATGCATATAAAATGAGAATTAGACATACCTTTGCCAATACTGCTGCCATAGCGAGTTGCAATCAAAGCACAATTAATAAAGTCACGGTTTTCAACTAAGAAAATCAACTTGTAGAGACTTTATCACCAGCAACGGCTAATTAAATGATAAGGTCACAATTTTTGAAGTCTGTCTTAAAACAAAAGCCAGGTGCTCATATAATCATTGAAATATGTTTTATTTGCTGTAGTCATTCCTCATGGTCATACTGGCCTTTAAAACATCCTGATGCCCTTTCAGTGTAAGTGATGGGGGACAAAATCCACAGTTCTCCTTCCAGGCAAGAATGTAGTTCATCCAAAGCTTTAGATGAACATTTTGTACGGAAGTGGAACTGTGGATTCTGACCCCTATCACTGTGGTTTCAATGTATGAAAACACATTAGGAAGGGATGTTTGAATAGCCAGTATGGACAGGAGGAATGATCACAACAAGCAAAACCTGTCTGAACGTTTCTATGGACACCTGGTTATTGTTTTGACATTGTTTTAATTGATTTAAAAAACTACCTGATAATTCAGTTGGAAGTTTTTCTCTCTTTCTTGTTGGTGTCTCATAGCAAACAAAAAACCAACCTTTGAGACAGCTACTTAATTTAAGAAATTAGCAAAGTAACCATTACACTTTTAATGACATCCATGCCTGCTGTGGGACTTGATAATGAAATGATTTTAGCAGTTGTGAGGAGTATTTGGATTTTGCAGCTCAGTGTGGAGTATCCTTGAATGAAAGGACTGGGAAACAGCTTCTGCCATCAATAATGTTCAAAGGAAGGGAGTGGAAATCCTACAGTTGGTTTGTCATTGTTTCCAACATTGTGCTGTATTACAGTGACGCCTTCAAAAGGGTGTTTAACAACCTTTGGGTATTACAATGAAAGAACATTAACCCCCCTTTGATAACATACATATGAAGTGATGAGCAGTAACTTCATTAGTTTCCAGTGTGTCACTGTGTTACCCTCTGAGTCCTGCAGGTCCAGCACTCTTCGAATCTGGGACAGCGGCATCAGTGCGATGTGTTTGAGCGGGGGCGGGGGTCTCGTCTGTCCAAGTGGACTCTTAAATGTATTGATCACCTTGTGTCGCTTCCTTGCAATCTGCATAGACACATACACACCCGAAAAACGAGCACAACATCAGACAAGAACTTTGGAGGTAAAGGAAGAAAGTACGTTTGTGTGCGTATGTGCGTGTGTCCTGTTCTTTCGATTGTGAACTGAGAGTAGGTGCATTCTGCAGCATGTGGGTGAAGCTGCTATCGTTTACTTGGCAATAAATCAATGAGGCCTTCATAGAGGTAAACGATGCAACTCATTAATGCCACATTAATTAGATGCTGAGAAGGACGAAAGAGGGAGGGAGAGGATGAAATAGGACACTACATCATAGGTCATTGTTATTGTGGCAGTGTGAGTGAAGAGGGTGAGAGAGTGATTATATGAATGTAAGAGTTAATCAATGAGCAGTGTTGATGGACCCACACTAACAACACTCACTCAATATACATACAGGACTACATGGAAGACTGAAATCCATGTGTACACACACACACACAGGCTCATTAGGAGGTGTCCCTGACACTCCTGAATCAGCACAGCCACCCACCTCATCTCTTCATGATTGCCTGCCCCGTTCTGTTCTTATGTTGCCCCTTAGCTAATTAACACACACTGACCGTGTCAGCAATGATAGACCGCATACACATGAATTGATCACCTTTCCAATCTCACTACTCTGTAAAAGAGCCCTTTCCTCCTCACCACTGAATGTGGATCTCAGCACGTTCTTAAACACATGCTGAGATCCATGCTGAGTCTCCCTTAACAAACAAGGTAGAGAGGAAGAACGGCGCAGGAGATGGAAGCATTTACGGAGACTTTTCCTAACATGACTGGTTAAATGATAACAGAGTTTAAATTGGTGAAAACAGAAAGGGCTTTTTGGTGATGCAGCAACTTCTACATATACAATATTGGATATGGTTACACTTCATAGTTGAACTACCAATTGCATACCCAAACTGCAACCAACACACCAAATTTGTATCACATATACAACTCCCATTTAAATATTTAGAAACTAATTAGAAACTAATTAATTAACTAATTTATTGAGTATGACAATCTTTGAACAGTTGAGCAAGCCTCAGTTAGAACCTCTGCCTCCTTTCCTGTACTTAGATATGCTATGTGCTAGGCTTGTCTATGTTGAAAAGACAACCATATTTTGGGGATAGTTAAAAGATAACATATATATAGTCACATCTTAAGTGAGATAATGTTTTTTTATAAGTAGATTTAGTGCTAACATAGCTAATAAGCTACTTTTATTCATGTAGGTGAAGATTCAAGTACAGTATTGGTGTTGGTGGGCATTCTCACCTCAAGGCAGTCATTGAAGAGGAAGAGTGTGACATGTTCTCCGCGATCACATGGCTGGTCTCCCAGGGCAATAGTTTCTACTCTGTAAACCAGGCTGCGATGGGAGGACAGCAAGTTGGCCTGCAAGGAAGATGAAGCATAGAAAGTGAGAGGAAGGTGTGGAGAAAGGTGGTCGAAACAGTGGTAGAAAATGGAATACAGGCAAAGAATTGGAGAGCAGACTTAAAGTTATGGAGATTGAATATGGAATTATGTTCATTCTTCCAAGGTTTCTGCAGATTACAACAGCTTAAATGTAGATGTAAGGCTTTTTAAAACCTATTAAAGACTCGTATGAATGCAAACTTAAAACTATTTCACTTCTATACTGATAAAAAAAAGTATGAAGGATCTGAAGGAAAATTGGTTGCAGTTGTTACAGCTGGAAGTTACAAGCAAGAATGAAAAATGTGACTTCATACAAGTAACGTTCTCTTCATTAATCTGATTTTAAGACCTGTAAAAATCATATATAAAACATTGTGAGGCCTAAACTTAAGATAATTGGATTTTAGACTTTTTAAGACCCTTCCCTGTTCTTCATATTACTAGACATTCCAATTATAATTAGTTGATTAAATAATGTAAACAACACCATCAAAAACAGACAATATGTGCAGTGGAAAGACTTTCTACTAACTTACAGTCCATATGTATTTAATCCGTACTACTTCTTCAAAAGCTATGACCTATATTTTAAAATCAAAATACTAATAATTTTAAAAAGGGAGCCACACATCTATGGTATTTTCTTCAATAAGAAACATGTCATTTTGAACGCTCCCGTTTCAGTTAAACAGTCTATTGGAACAGCTTATTGATGACATCTGGTGGAAGACATCACAGCGCCACTGTCTGAGCAATCGTAAAATACACTGATCTGTACACAGTCTGCAACGGGTATATTTTAAGGGACAACATGCATATGTTTGTTTTCTCATGTGGAATAGTATGAATAAAAAATTATAGCACTAACAAAACCACAGACATGCAAACAATAATAATGCTCAATCTTACAGGACAGCCATCAACTTCATAAACAACATCAAAGATCTGCTTCTGGCCCTCGGTCTTCCTCTTGTCCTCGTTGATGTGACTGGTGGCGAGGAAAGGGAGACGGGAAGTTGGAAAATGGAAGAAAATAATGTAATTGCTCATCTCAGTAATGCTGAAACAATTAGGCAATAAATGAACTAGCTGGCCACCAATCAATGACAATTTTTATAATCCATCACTTGTCTTAGCTGTTCATCAAGGGAAAATGCCAACATTTGCTGGCTCCAACTTTTCAACTTTTTTTCCCAGATCATTGTAGATTGAACATCTTTTGGGTTTTAGACTGTTGATCAGACTAAACAAGCAATTTAAAGATATTTATTGGGCATATTAAACTATTTTCTAACCTGCCAGGGTAATTCTCATGCGGTTGTTTTGACAACAGCTCGAAGGATTTGAGCATAATGTGACACCACTGAATATGACCTTCCAATGATCCAAAAATGCACTGAAATATCAAGGAGTACTCCAAAATCTGGTCTCAGATATGTCAAGACTTAACCAACTTCAACTGGAAATAAAAAATAAACTTAAATAAAAATCACTTGTTTCTTGCTAACTACTCAATTATAATTGCTCAACAATTATTACAAGCTGAACATACAATGAAGATTTAGCACAATAAGAGTACATACGGTGGTGGAAATGATCAAACAATGCTGTCACCAAGGAAAGGGTAAGGTCATGCCAACTCACGTCATAACCTCTTTCAGAGACTCAATAGCTTTCTCCAGTTTTATCTTGTCTGGGTTGTCATCTGACGTATGCTTCTTTATGTCTGCAATGGTGGAAGAAAGGGAAAGTTTGTTAAGAAGCAGACAGGCAGGAAGGAAGAGATGAAAATCATGAAGAGAAAGGTGAGAAGAAAAGAATAGGGAGGAAAAGAAATTGCAGACAGTATCAACAGGAGACAATGGAGGAGGGAGACAGGTATGGAAGGAGAAAGATAAGGGGGAAAAGACAAGGAGGGATGTAATTAGCACAAGACATGTTTTTTTTCAAACTGTTTGAACAGAGGGGTGAGTATGTGAGTGTGTGTGTGTTACCGTTTAGAAGAAGGGCCACACTAGGCAATCTCTGTACAGGTCGGATTAGCAGCTCCACCAGCGTCTGCCTGCCGCACTCTGGCTTGGCCTGGTTGATCTGTAGAATAAAAGCGTTGAACAGTGTGTGTGTGTGTGTTTGTGTAAACCTGAAGGACACATTCGGACAGAAAAGTTTGCACAGCATGCCAACCATCCAGCTAAAAGAAGGTCAATTTGTCTGTTCAACAGGCCACTTTTGCAGATAGTAGCCAGTATTTTCTTTATAAACTGTCACTACTTCGCTCAATTTAAATGTCCTGCACTACTTTTGTATTCGTAACTTTATTATACACATTATAACATTATGTTGAAATGCACTCAAGAAACCAGGTTACATGGCTATAGTTTGCAGTGTTTCTGTGAAGTGGTGTCAGAAGGTTTTCATGGTATTTTTTTCTCTGCCACCATTTGAAAGTCTCATCTGTAGGTGCTGTCCACCAGTCAGGCAAACAAAGGTCGTACCTTGAGAAAAGCATGGAAGCGTGGCTTTTGTTTCTCACACCGAACAATAGTTTCCTTGCTCATTTCAAAGAAGTTGACAAAGGGTGGGTAGGCCTTCACCAGCTCTTTAGACTGCAGAGACAGAAGATAAGGAGGACAGGTCAGAGGCATTAAAAGGACGATCCACACAGATGCAAGAATAAGGTTACACAAACATTTTGAATTAAATCTGGATTGTTTGAAGTTGTTAAACTAGTCTTATGGAATAATTCTCAGTACCACTTAGGAATGGGACAATATATACGATATTGATTTTATTGATTTCCTGATTTATTTTGAATTGCCACAAGTAGAATCCTGCAACTTTCTTTTCAAAAAACCTACGCCTGTCATTATGGCAGAAGGTTGCGTTTGCTCTTGCCTATTTTCTGAGTAACTAGAAATGGTGAATTACTGTAATAAGCTTTGAAGCTCAATACATGGATCTTGTTTAGATAAAGAATGAATAAAAAGCATTGTTGTCATCAAAGACGAATTCAACCCATGATGTTATTCAACGTGGCATCACAGCCGAAAACATCCCTGAAAAGTGGTCAGGGACCATTCCGGTTTAGCCTTGCATGCAAATACCTGCCCTCAAACTGTTTGAGTGATTTACCAGTGCCAGAAGAAATACTGCAAGCCCGATGTCACAGTTCACCCCACGTGAGCATGGATTGGTCTCCTCAGGTAGACCTTTATCAGCTGTTGTAAGCAACTTTCAAAATGAACTACTTCTGATTCTTTCTTGTGTTATAGATGATTTTACTCTTTTTTAAACGGATTATATTTCAACAAGGCTGCAAAACTTCATAAATAAGCACAAATAGGTTTGTACTTTCTTGAATCTTTCCATGCACATTTGTGTAACATCTGCCTGCTAGTAGAGATTGGTTATTACTTACATATTTGAGTATGATGTCTCCTACACTCTTATCCTCTGACCAGTCTGAAAGGAGATCTTCAAGGTCACTCTGATGAACAAACCATCACACACAGAAAGACAACAAGTCAAAAACTCCTCTTAAAAAACTACACCATCACAATAATCGGGTCAAACTTGGTTTTGATAGAAACCGTCAAAGGCACACTACCTTTATTCTGGTGTGGACTTCGTAGATGTCTGGGATGCTGCCAAATATCGTTTTCATTTCTTCCTGGGCTAGGATGGGTCCGCCCACCTGCCCCTCTTTTTCCAATGGAAGCTTGAAAAGCTTCAAAAGAAAAACAGATATGAGAGAGGTGCACAAACACTCTAGCACCATAATGTTACAGTAAATTGCACAAAACATCAATGGGCAGTACTCAAGATGCTTTCAAAGCTTAGGCATCAGCAATACAGTATGTTTCATTAGGTCAATAAAAATAGGCACATATAACATGTCTACACACTGTATTTACAAGATGTAGCCTAATCTGTTGATTCCTTCATTTGCCATTTCATTGTGTCAACTGTAGTTTGGTTAATTTGGTCCTAACTAAAGGGAAAAAGAGCACTAGTCTGCTTCATGTTCACACTAACTAAAAGACAAACCAAGAACAGCAAAAACTATATTATAGAGACTGGCAGGTAACGCATTCATTGTGTTATGTAGAAAAATCAACAGTGAGTTTCTTTTTTATTCTGCCTCAAAGACGTCATAAAGAAATAACTGATCATGAGTTGAGACAACAACTGGACCTCATATATTATAAATATTTAACAACAGGTAGAAATATGACAAAATAAGGCGTTTAATTGCAATATTAGGGGAGGATAGTCATCGTGTGCTCGTTATGTTTTACTCATTTTTAACTTGGGGACTGATAAAATACATGGAGAAGGACAAGATAAACATCAATTTTAACCCTTCTTCACTTTCTGATGTATCAGGAAAAACATCAGTCAACTGCTGACAAATCTGTGGTTTGTCCAATTTACTTACTACAACTACATTTCACTTGGTGAGATAAAAAGGTGGGTCTCTCTCTTGGGGTGTTTGTCTTGGGGGTGCCTAGACATCTTCCCTGATTGGTTCAAATAAACTCCTGGTGTGGGCCAGAGTCCCTTGCAAAAAACCCTGCTTTGACACAACTGTGGGGGGAAACTGAGAGCATGACCTTAAACTACAAGGGAGAGGTCTTCACAGGTCCACTTGGTTCATAATAACAGACATCCAAATTTCAGTCAGTCTAAATTGGTGGGGTAGGGTCCTGTTGTATTGCCCAAGTGGACACCACATGAACCCTGAAAACATTTTTTCACATTTATGCAAGCAATCTTGAGCTGTACCCAACTCAGAATGTTGTCAGTTGAATCAGATTTGGCTGTTCAATAAAAAGATTCCACTATGGGTTACTTTTTTTCAGTTAAGCACCACACTAAACTCCTCTATCATCAGTTCCTGCGGTGGAGACGTAGCTCCATGAGTCATGTTTCACCTGTAAGACTGTGATTTGAACACAACACATTTCAACACAGTTGGAGCAAGTAAACGTGTGTGTCCTGCTTATAGTTCAGTTATAAAATCTGAGTACACCACAGAGCGTCTCTCCTACAGGACTGCTGACAGTGCTGTTGGTCGAAGAGACAATCACAGTGGACGGCAGTAGAGGAGGCTGGACCACCATCAAAAGTGGTTCAGCCGACTCCCCCACCGTCACATTGCCCTCCGCTAACTATCACCCTTATCTGCTTCCATCACTGTTAGTTTTGTGGTTTGAGGTAATTTTGAGATTCGGTTTGTAAAGTGCCGAGATTCCACTGACAAGGTCAGAGTCGACTCAAATAATCCAGTTTTCAGGGGCAACAGTCTGTGGGGTGGCCGTAATGCAATCTACTATAGGGCCTTAACTCATATTATCCTGTGCACTTACAGATGTAAATCAAGAAAACAAAAAAAATGCAACACATTCTGTGGAAAACAATATACGTTCCAGGATTAACTGTTGTCTGAAAAAAATATAATAATTGTGAACAACATGATTTGGCTCTCCTCTGATGAGTGATTACTCATGGTGGGAACTGTTGAGTCACCTTAAATAATGAGGAATGCGCTCTATTTGACAAGTGTCCTGAGATAACATGTGTTGTGATTTGGCGCTACAGAAATAACATTTTAAATGAACTGAATTGATAGTACGCTGTGACATGTTAGTGTCATACACACAGGCAGTGAGACTGTGTTACTGTTGTGTCATGTTGAAAAATGAAATCCAATTAGCAATCTACAGTCTGCTGCTCATCTGAACACAGGCTTGCACTATCTCCTGCCTCAGTAAATAGCTGTGAGATGAAAAACGGAACTGCTGCATTCAGAAATATGGATGAAGTACATTTTCTGTGAGGTGAAAAAGGAGCATGGATCGACTATGAAATAGGCTGGATTATGGAGTAAGCTTCAACTGGTTTCTTGTGATAAATGGCACAGTAGTGGAGCTACAGCTGCATTATTAGCAGCATGTGGCGAATTAGTTTTTAAAATTCAACACCAAGAGGCTAACTTTATATTCCCAGATTTAAAACTAACCAGCTTTTGGTGAGTTAAGCCCAGGAGAATACAACAGAGAAGACAGATTACAAAGAGAGGGCAAAAATCGAGGAAGGGTGTTTGAGGCAGAAAGAGAGAGACGTAGGGAGAGGAAGCATGAATGAAAAAGAAGCAACATCAAAATGGAGGGAGCTATAGTTAAGAAAAAAAGCAAAAAGAGTAAAAGATTTTGAAGGGGCAGGAGACAGAAGGAAAAATGGTCAGGCAGGTCATTTTCTCCCTCACTGGTCAGCTGTCTGACTCTCTGCTGGGACCAACTGATAAGACAGGCCAAGAGAGAGCATGCAAACACACACACACACACACACACACACAGGCACACACACGCACAGGCACACGCACAGGCACACGCAGGCACACACAGGCACACACAGGCACACACAGGCACACACAACACACACACACACACACACACACACAGACCCCTTTAATGATTGTAGCTTAGCCTGAAACTGTTGTCAGGGGCAACTGACTGGCCAACCTGTGAGGGAGCGTTAGAATAGAAGTCCACATTGTGCTAACACACAGACACACACTGCTACCTGTAGGATGGTGCTTAAAATGTCTACATAGTTGCTCTCAGTCTGGTAGAGCTCCTTGGAGACCTGCCACCTGGCTGACTGCTTGGACAGAACCGGAGTCGAACTTTTGGATGGCTTCGAACTCTCTGGAGGAACAAGACAGGCAGGGAGGAGGGAAGGTTGTTAATACTGCAGCGAGGCACGAAAAGACACTTTCAGGTGTATGTTTTAGCAATCAGAATGAGATTGAGGCTGAATCCAAATGACCTACTGTAGAAACGGTGTATGCATGTGTTGAAGGTCATTTATTTGCTTCACCTCAGCCAATGGAAAGACACCTTTTCAGTTTTGATATTTTTCAACCGAGAGAAAACTTTTATGATAAAGTTTCTGCTTTCCTGGAACTCTGACATCAAGACACCACCAGTACGTGGGCTGATCTGTGCCAGCTTTGTATAACAATGCAATTATTATTATTATTATTATTAAATCCATTTCACGTTTTGAATCTGCTTATTCAATTTAAATTCTTTTAAATGCCTTATGGAATCTCATGAGGTTTAGCTTTGTTTACTTGACAGTAACTACAGTTAAATGTGATCATTAAGTTGCTAAACTTAAAAAGATTAATACAATATGCATAAATTGCTCACTACATACCTTGGCCAAGTACAGACACCAGCTTGCAGTAGGCACATTAAGCAAACAACTACGACTGCACAATTAATACAAATATGATTGAAATAATATTGCAATATGGCAAAGTGCAATATACAAATAGCAGAAGTTGCAATGTTTTGATGAAGGTAAACTGTGTGACAAACAGCATTATAATGAAATACTGTAGTGCTGCAGAGATGCCCTGGCCTACAAATCTTCTTCTGCAGATGTTATTAGCTTGTGTGTAGCTGTGTGATACAAAAATGATCACTCCTACTCTAATCATATCGCAGTATCGGTCAGAACAATTGCAATATGATGCATGTTTTTACCATATGGTGCAGCCCTACAAACAACGGATACAAGTTTAATTTAGGCACTATTTAATTAACAAAATCTGTTCAAATGTGACGCAGATGAAGTTTGTCATTTCAACCAGTCAAACTGAAGGTGTGTGCAGGCTAAAGAATGAGAGCCTGCTACCAAAATGTTTTCTACATTACTGTCATAATAAAAAAAGAGGGAGGAGAAAAGCTTCCAGTACAGTTTTATTGGTATAAGTGAAACTAGTTCTCAGAACCTAACACTACAGCCCCTAAATATATCACAGCTATTTGCATAATACACAAGACAATGCTGGCAATTTTAATTTAAAAGGACACGCCTCGTCTAATGTAAGGCAAGAACAGCTTTGTATTTATACCAGGTATTTGTGCCTTCAGGCCCAGTACTACTCTCCATGTTCACATATGTACCCCACTACTCTGACCTGAAGTTTTCACTGTTCCACTCATGACTTACTTATCATTACATAATTTATCATTACTCATTACAGACTTCTTTCATCCTCCTAACACATACTTTGGCCTGATGTCAACATCAGCACAGTCCTACTGCTGAAGCAAAACCTGACCTGCAGAAGTTCCTGGCTGCTGCTCCTCCTCTGGTTGCTGAAAGGGATTTGTACTCTGGTAGGACCTTTTCCTCCTCTCTTCCCTGTCTGTCCTAATCCTCCTTTCCCTGGTTTTCCTTCTTCTTATCCTATTCCTGGTCACAGTATCGCCTCCTTTGCTCTCTGAACTGTTCCCTACTCTGTCTTCTGGAATAAAGAGAGGGGTTCATCTTGTTATTGTTCTCTTATGAAGAAGAGGGAATCGACCATCATCATAGAAATATCCTCTAAGGTATTGCATTTTTCCATCAGTATATAGCAGAAATGGCTTTTAGGGTTGGATGAAGCAGGTGTTTTCCACTCACTCCCCTGTCGTCTTACCTGCCAAGGCCTTGCACGTCTCAGGGGTGTTAGAGATGTCCAGCAGCGAACCTATGGACAGGTTGTGCTCTGCCGATGGCCTCTTGCGTGGCGGAGGGAATGGGGAGATCTCCGTCTCCTTGGTGAGCTGAGCGAGCGTGTCCCTCAGACGCCGACGCTTGCGGTTACTGTTGGGGGTGGTGAGTGACAGGAGGGACACCGCCTTCTTCATGGCTGGGCTGTCATTCTGGAGTACAGTGGGAGAAAAAGATAAATATGTAAGACAAGATGAATATAAGGGCAGAAGGCCAGCTACACATCTTGTAAATTGTGATCTGATCTGATGATACCATTTCAACTTCCAAAATTAAAAAAAGGGCACAGAGAACTAGGACGATGAAATTGCCCTCCTCTGGCTACTGGAGGAACCTGAACGGGGGGCCTCCCAACACATACTTGAAACAGGAACGGGAGCAATGTAAATATCACTCACCTTCTCGTAGAGGTACATAGACTCTCCAGCCCGAGCGTCCATCTGAATGCTTCCCCAGAACCACTACCACAGAAGAGAGAGAGAAATGTATTTAATGACCCCTGGATTAGGACAGAGGTAGGTAGAAAAAAAGATTTGACACTATAATGACATACCGTACACATTCCTTTGAAAACCAATAAACATGGCACAGTAAAGAAAAGGCCGTATTGATTGTGGGGTTAAAACTACAGCTAAACCACCCCTCTACCTTGGTTCGAATCATTCTTCCGCTGGAAGAGGAAATCTATTATTGATCCTCCTCTCTGACAGCGCAGACAGAAAAAGGAAGAGCAGAGACTGCATCAACTGAGGTTTAACATAAAAGGAGTCCTGATCAGATGATCATTTGGCATTCTGTTGAGGAGGAAAAAACATTTCCTATTTTCCTCCTGTCCCCCTTGGGTTTGCATCCTCCTGGAGCAAAAGTATCTCGATTATTCTGTTATGTCAAGATAGTACTTGACCAGTATCACAGAACTAACTCTACTCTTTCCAAAAAACAAACAACAACTGAAAGACCTACCTCCTGTTTGACTGCAAAGAGTTTCTTGGAGGGAGAAAATGGTAGCTCCTTTACTGAGTTTTCCTCTATCACCATGTGTGTACACCTCTCATTTCCAACCTCAAGATAACTGCCACCTTAGACACAGAAAAACAGGGATATTATGATGAGGAAATATACACATCATAGCTTAGCAACTGTACCTGTCACGTTTTGGGTTTCCCCAACATGATGAAACAGTGCGTATGGTGCTCTAGTAAGAACAATACATTTTTAAAAATCTTTCCAAAACCAAAAATACAGTGTATGCACTGTAAACAGTAGGTCTGTTTTCTCCAACATAAGCCGCTAGTTAGCCCAGCTGACTAATTTATTACAGGCGGACGGAACCACAAAAAAAAAAAAAAAAAACAACAACAACAACAACAGCATAATGGTCAATCCTGGTTTGCTGCAGCACTGACCATGTTTGAGAGTCCTCTCCTCCATGTTGGCCTTCTCTTCAGCTGAGAAACCCAAAAAACTCAGGATGCAGTCCTGGAATGGAGGCACTTTGAACTCTGTTCGAAACTCCTCTTCTCCTGCATGGAAGCACCTAGATAGATGAAGGTGGGAGAAACACGGTTATTTTCCCAACTATGTAATTGTTCGAATGTGAATGTGCAAGGTCATACAACTGTCAAGTACACAGTTTTCTGATAATACATTCTATTTATTCTATTATATTTATGTGTGTAGATCAAGCAATTATTTAGGAAATTGAACAGAAAATCTACTGTGCAGTAACTCTTCTGAAGGGAGAAAAGAGAAAAAGCATTAAAAAAAAACTAGAAAATTCCTAAAGAAATTTTGAGTGTGCCTGGCTCTGGCCCGTTTATTAATACCATGTCTTCCTCTCTAGAACGCTAGCTAGCGCTAGCCTAATAATACCTTGTCATTCTCTTTAGCTAGCTAACTAGCGCTAGCACATTAATACCTTGTCATTCTCTTCAGCTAGCTAGCTAGCTAGCGCTAGCTTATTCATACCAGAGAATGTCTAATAAGGGGAGAAGTTCCACTCTGTACACTTCCGGCTTCTGAACTGTTGCAGTTCCACTCTGGCTCCATATGAGGGCGCTCACAGGATGAGTGCAGAATGAATGGCAGTCTATGGAGCTATACCCTCAAAATCCCTTTTCTCAGGATATCATTTTTTGTCTAGTAATTTGAATGTTGCATTCGAAAGGGGGTGCAAAGAAATTACACATTGCTGGGTGTTAGATTTTTAAGAGTCACTTATTTGCTTTAAAAAAGTCTTTTAAAATGTCAATGACGTCACTGACCTATTTATTCTCCTGTACAGCACTTTGGTCAACTTTGGTTGTTTTTAAAGTGCTTAACAAATAAAGTTGGATTGGATACACATCGTACGGCCAGAGATACTGCTTTACAGCAAGCCTTGAGTCTCTTTGTGCTTCCGCGCTCTGCACTTCCTTTTCTCTCGAGGCATCGACAACACAGACATAACGATAGGCAGATTAAGTACCAGCAACCCCAAAAAAAGTTAACGCCATAACGTTCTGGTCCCGCTTCGGATGCCACGATGCCATCAAGCGGGATCTCTGGTCGTAATCAGTCCTTCACTGACCAATCAGCGTTCATTAGCAGAATGCTAGCGTGTTATGGGCAACAACAACTCGTCCTGTAAGAGATCGAAAGGACATAAGAACTCGTTCATTCAACTTTCGACCTATAACCCATGTTGAACTTGCAAAAACTACAATCAAATCTGAGATTTCTCAACGACAATCAGGTGAAAGAGACAAATTTAGCCGTCTACCTCCATCTGCTCCCATTCATTTTGCACTCATGGGCGATCGCCCCCAGTGGAACTCTGGTGGAACTGCAACCAAAATTTGGTACAATGGGACTTAATAGAGAGTGGCCAGGCTCTCCGTAGATGGGCTCTGTTAATAGCTTAAATACTCCTCTGTAGCTAGCTATGTGTGTGCATGTATATGTACGTTCACAGGAAGGCTTTGGTTGTCGTGACAACCAGGGGAGGCCACAGCACTCGAGTCTCCTGAGAGAGACAGAAAATCTCAAAATGAACCCCCTCAAACCATTGGCCAGGAATGACCAAAAAACGAAATGAAAACCGAATAGACTGAGGATTGTCATCTTGTTGACTATAGGACTGCCGAGTTTCAGTGGCTAAAGTTAAAAAATGTGACCTCGGGAGATTGAGAAAGAAATGGTGCAATGAGTTCTTTTCAAAATTTCTTCTCTCCAATTAACATGGCATTAGATGGGGCCGTGAGAGGGTGTTGCTGGCACATCAGTGCATTTCCCGCCAAAACTATTTGTCTGACAGCTTCAGCAGTGGTATCACTGCGACCCAAACGGATTTACCTACGTTTATATCTATAAATTATTTCTGTAGAGTGACATTTGTGGCCTTTACAAATTTATTTTTTGACAAATATTTCTCTCTCACTCCACTCTAACTGAAACGGCAGTTAAAATCAGTTGGCCATTCTACCAATACACACCCATTAATTTTTTGGCCTGGTTTTTGGCGATTTATCGGCAAACTGTTTGGTGAAACGGTTAGAAAAGTCCTAGCACTAATTTCCCGGCCGAGCCGCACGTTTAGATACCTTTTTTGTGTATGTGTGACCAAAACTGCGGGAAGAGTAGTCGACCAAAAAACGACATTGGAGAGTAATACCTGTTCACAGTCAAGCTTGTGAGCTGCAGGCTTTGGTTGCTAGGCAACCAGGTCCAGAAATCGGTGATTATTTTCAGTTGGCCATTCTACCAATTCACACCCATTCATTTTTTGGCCTGGTTTTTGGCGATTTATTGGCAAACTGTTTTGCAAAACGCTTAGAAAAGTCATAGCACTAATGTCCCCACCGAGCCGCACGTTTTGGTACCTTTTTGTGTATGTGCAACCAAAACTGCGGGAGGAGTAGTCGACCGAAAAACGTACGGAAGAATAATAATAAGCACGGGGAATAATAGTAGTGTGCTTTTCCATGCACACTAATAAAAAATACAGTACCGTATGCGCAAACTAATAATACTGTGCAATTCAATCAAAAGTAGTTCCTAGTTAATCATGTACTGTATTAAGTGCAACTAGAATAAAATGATTCAACGTTATCATAATTAACAGAGACTGATATGAAAACCATATAAATAATATGAACCAGATTTCATGCAAAACTGAAAGAAACCCCAGCCACTTCACAATTGTCCCTTAAAAAAACAGCCTTATACCACAGCATGGGTTATATTATCTATTTCAGCTTTTATCAGTATTATGGTATGCCTTGGTAGTTAAGTAACAGGACATTGCAGTACTTTGAGATAATTTAGAAACAGGACAGCTTTACATTCCATAATATAATATATTTATCAATTGTAAAATGTCCTATTCAAAACATTCGGTATTATTGTCAGTATTCTTGCCCTTTCCACTGGAGGAACTTTACACCCCCTAAACTGGGCCTTCACATAACGTGACGTTTTGAGAATCTTGTGAGGAATTTCACAAACTGATAGGTTTCTGATACACACAATTAAAAGGGCAAAGGCGGAACTTATGATGTGACTTTTTATGTGGCGTTAGCTTGGCGAGTGAGGTTGTTGGGACAGGTAACAATTTAAGAAGTGATACAGATATTGTTCATATTTTCTTGAACATGAGATACAAATTACAATAGAAAATCCAGAGCACTGCCAGGGCTGACACAAGCTTATTGGTGGTCCAAAACAGTGCCTGGCATGCAGGGCTCCAGACTAAATTTTTGCATTGGTTGCACTGGTGCGCCTCACTTTTTTTTTTTTTTGGTGCACCAGCACAAAATTTAGGTGCAGCCAAATTTTTCATTGCGTCGCCTTTAACGCCATAAGGTCACCTTTTTATCGCTCTTCATAACTTTCATATAATGTGAATGATTTTTAAACAAGAATAAGGTGTAGAGAAATGCTTGTCTTTATTTGAAGCACAATTATATATAAAAAGAAAAATAAAGTGTTTAAAGTGCTTCACTGAGCTGAAGTTGAACATTTCAAACTAAAACACTAAGCAAAATAAAACATTTCCAAATAAAAGAGGACCTGATTCCTACTACCTGCTGCTGAAATGCAGAAAAAAAACTTTCAATATTTCTGCCTCTCTTCATTTTCCCTCATTTTGTCGCGTTTATTTTATTTTTTCGTTTCAGTTAGTCAGCTATTCTGGCGCTCAGGTTGCGCACAAAGACCAGGACACAGGTGAACAGGACCACAGCCAATCAGAGGCAAAGACCCCCCCGAGCTCTGTCTCTTATTGGTTTAGAACACGATATGATCCTACCATGAGTGTGTGGGTTCGGTCACAGGAGAACACAGAGAGATGATGCGCTTGCGAAATAAATTTATGTTTTCACCCGGGCAGCGTCAGGTGCACCAGTGCGACCTAGAAAAATTATTAGTCGCACTCTGGAGCCCTGTCATGTCTAACACCTTCATAGTTTTACTTAGTTTTAACAGTGAAAATCGAAGTAAAACATTTGATAAATGCTTTTTTTTCGGGATGTCACGATCTCAAACAAAGGCTTTTAGTATTGGGTATCTGCTGAAACCAAGTCTGGTCTGATACTTGTGTTTACACTGCAGCAGAATATATGCAATGTTGACTACATATGTATGTGGCATATTGAAAAACAAATTGAGTTCTGGTTCAAAAGTGTGAAATGTATCATCTTGAATTATTGATATATGAATTAAATTTGAGACTTCAGAAAATTGATGTGATGCAATCATCTAGAGAGAAGACATCTATTCTGTTCAAGTTGTTAGAACTAGAGAAACACTCACGGGAGGGGAGCATACAAAGCTTCACTTTTGTCTGCCATCAACAGCTGATTGGAATTTTAACCAGTGACAGAGAAGGTCAGCACTGGATGACAGAGTTTAGCAAATCTGTGTATTTTACTCTCTGGGGCTGTTCTGTAAAGACTTTTATAATATCACAACTTCTAAACAACCCATATCAATTTCAGGTTTAAATATACTATATTCTGGTTTGCCCCACCCCTTTCAGTTGAAGCACCACCCACACCCTGGTTTATACCCCACCCATTCAGAGTACAAATAATTTAGTTGGTTGAATAGATACACGGTGTACTTACTCATCCCTTTTTGATACGTCATTATCTTATCTTAACTCTCAAATATCAACATAGGTATCGATCTCAAAACTGTTTTTTTTTTCTTGTCTAATAAACACAAATAGAAAATGGCTAAAAATTATAAAATACAAGCATCAACACAACAACGTTACAGAGGCTTCCTTCAAGGATTTTAAACTTACACATCGTCTCTTCTCTCCCAGGCCTTGTGAATCCATGATGGAGTGAGGATGGGCGTCCCCATGCACACTGCCAGCTGAGAGGTGAAGGCACAATAAGACACAGTAAAGAGAGAGAAAAACAAAATACATGAGTAAATGTGCAACCAAGAGATGAGGCAGACAGAGGAAAACAATAACAGAAAGAAGGGCATGACATTTATCTGTGTACAATTTTATAACTATAAGACCTTCAAATAGTTTCACTGTCACTGCTCACAGTACAACAATCTCCCGAGTCTGTTTTCATTACTCCTGATCGCCCTGTCACTCAGAATCACAATACGAGTACGACAGGTACAAACAGTTTCCACTTCAGGCGCAATACAAAAACAAGTATGAGAGGCTCCGTGGTTGCCTTTTTTTAGTTAGCGTCACACTTTCAAATGGAAAACAGCCTTGGCTGTCTGTCACCAAACCAACATGTTCTCACTGCATTTTGTCTTGTTCTGCAAGAACAAAATATACCACCCACAAGACTTTTGCAAGAAAAAGGGGAAATAACTCACTAACTGAGAGGAGGGAGAGCAAAAAAAAAAGATTAAATAGAAAATCACTGCCAGAGATGATTGAAAGAAGTACAGCATCAAGCATCTGTTAATCCGAGCGTCAATCTATCCATCCTCCCATCTATCCATTTCTATGTATCCCTATGGAGGAGGCCATGTATTGAACTCGGTTTAAAGAGGATCCAACAGGGAATTAAATTACCACTTTCTGACATCAGACACTGGGATTCAAGCTATGCTGACAGGAACTTCAAATCATTTCCTGCTCCTTCTGTTTATTTCAGCCAGAGAACGTGCTACACAATCAGTGGAAGGGTGGTGTAAAAGGAAACTTTATAAAATAAATAAATAATCAATCAATCGCGCTCGGCCACCACCAATGAGTGAAAGCAACTGAAACACAACAGAAGTAAAACATTTACGTTGTTATTTTTCTGTTCCTTCTGTTGACTGTTGGTGCTTTTATTTGTCGAATGTATTAAAGAAAACTGGCAGATACAATAGCGTTTTTCACACACGTTAGGATATACTGGACAATACTCACAAAAGAGAAAGGGCTTTAAAAGACTGTGTAAAGTCATAATAAATATGATTTCTGAGTTTCTCACACCAAAGAAAAAAATTGTTAAAAAAGTGTGTTCTGCCAAATTTTAATGATTCAAAGAATCGGCAAGTATATATAATTAGTTTTAAAAAATGGGGGGGGGAAATTGCATTGTTCTCTGCGCATAGACGCTGGGGGGCGTGTCCACTGGGGCGCTGAAGTGACCGAGCTGCTCACTGAATTTACTTTACACAGACTGTAAATATTCCAATAGTTCCACATACAAAATGTCCACTACAGATGATTTATCTGTGGTAATTTTGTTTGCCATGCAGAAGCAGGCAACAATATTATCATTGTAATTATCTTAATATGTTGTAATGTGTGTATTTTAGTTGTTTATTGCCTTTTAGTTTGTTTCATCATTTTTGAAATTACAAAAATACATATCTGATGGTATTTATTGAAAGCTGGGACATACAGTGTACACTGACCAGCCATAACATCATGAGCACTGACAGGTGAAGTGAATAACACTGATTATCTGGTTATCATGGCTCCTGTCAGTGGGTGGGTTATATTAGGCAGCAAGTGAACATTTTGTCCTCAGAGTTGATGTGTTAAAAGCAGGAAAAATGGGCAGCGTGAGGATTTGAGCCACTTTGACAAGGGCCACATTGTGATGGCTAGAAGACTGGGTCAGAGCATCTCCAAACCTAGGTGCCCAGGTAGTCATAATGTTACAGCTGGTGTATATTGCAATAAAGTAAAGATAAATATACATTTTTGTAACAATATTGCCCTACTGCACAGCAGTATTAATGTCAGAGATAGACCGAGTAAAAAGATTGCAAGATCAGAGTAAACCAAAACCTAAGCATGTACGAACCCTGTATTTCTCTCCATGAGTAGAGTAGGCGATGAGATGAGTAACCTTGGTGCTGAAGTCTTTCCGGATGGTCCCACCCATGTGATGAACCAGATTCACCAAGTTCTTCTACATGGAAACACAAAAATGCCAAGCACAAGCTCAGCATAACATGTGTTATTCTGCAGTAAATTTTACCTTCGTGAAAGTTTTTAGATGTTTAAGCTGTTGTGAAGAGGCGTTGACTGAGCTTTAGGGTAATCTGATGACTGCAGCTTACAGTGCTGCTGACTTGTATTGCATTATACTGAGTGGTGTTTCTAGTATTGAATCTTCCCTTATTGATATAAAGGGATAAATAACACATTATCACAAACAGTTTAACATGGTATATTTTGACTGCAGAACAACTGTAACTGCCACAATGACAATAAACTGAATCAATATAATTCTAGAAGTCTAAGAAAACCTGAACGTTATACTCCATGAAGGTAGAAATTAGCAAGGCTGTTGTATTAGACGCCATTTTAGATAGGTGTACCTAATAAACTGGCAACTGAGTGTACTGATATCAATATGTCGGCAATAACCTAATACAGGCCGATATATCAGATTTATCTATTTATCGCTCTAACTCACCATTTCCTCTTTGTTCCTGAAGCCGGTGAAACACAGCGACAGGTTAAGCATTGTGGTGCAGTAGAGAGGACGGCATGAGAACTGTAGAGGCTGTGGGGAATGGAAGAGGCAGAAATCAGTGCAATGAATGTGTTGAATTAAGTATAAAAATACATTTTAATACTTTTAATATATAATATATACTAAAAGATATATAATAATAATATAAATTTTTTCAATAGCATGACATACATGATTATTTTTATGCCAGATAATGCCTGACATGGGTGAATAACTGCACAATGGCCTAACACCATCTTCCCTGTTATCAAGAGATTTTTATGATGTTCTGCAGTGCAGTCTGTGTGTGCGTGCAGTCTTCAGCTGACAAATATGTGGAGTGCTCCGTCTTGTTGAAAGCAGCCACAGTCAGGGCATATTGTTCATGTTCGACATTAGCATCCTATGTGAAGTCTCTGTCAGACAGACAGTGAGGCAGGCCGACATTTTTCATGTGAATTCCAGGTTGAAAAGGTTTGAGGAGCCATGTTTTTCACCGACGTGGAGACATGTATTTTTGATCATTCATGTCAATTATTTTTAGATTACACCAATATGTGTGAATCTAGTTTGTGACACATCTCAAAATAAACATGTTGTGAATAAGGGACTTACTTCCTCCTTCGCAGCACAGTGCAGCACAACGGGAGGCCCAATAATGCGGTTGTCGCGTTTGTAGAGGTAGCTGTAGTCGGGAGAATCAAAGTCTGTGAGGACGAACACCGTCTCGAAATCAGTGTTCTCTCCGTCTCCAAACTCCTGTACGTTGTCTGTGATTATGCACGGCGTGTTGATGTCCTGAATGGGAAGAATCACAATATGGAAAAATGGAGCAGTTCAAGGCAGGACTGGTGAAGCAAATTTAATATTCAGAAGTGCAGGAAATTAACCAGAAAATTACCAGTGTGAGTGTGAATGAAAGGTTTGTTAGCCTTGTTAGTCAGGCTGTTGGATTTTGTATTTAATAGTTAATTTTATTATAAGCAAATAATCTCTGTAATGAGCAAATACAAAAAAATAAAATATATATGAATTCAAAGGATAATAGCAGAATTATTTCATTTGTTTCTTGTCAACAAATCCCATTAAATCCCATAATTGTGGAGGCAGAACTCCACATAAGAAAGAAAATCACTTAAGTTTGATATATTATGGCCTGATTGAGTTGTTATGCTGGCGAATGTAAGTCCAATATTCATCCTGCTTTTGGCTGTGTTTTGGTCTCCACCAAGTCCTGCACGACCATATATTTGTTTTACTACAGACCTAATTCCTCACTCAAATGTAATTCAGTAAGTAAACTGCATCACAGGAGGAATGATCAAATAATCAAATAATGACTGATTCACATTTGGTGCTACTAAGCATTTTTAAAAAAGATTTCAATGAAGATTTTATTTGGTGAAATATTTTCTTCCATGTACCAAGGCTGGGGGAGCTCTTAAATACCACAGCAGCCATCTCCAATCCATCAAGGAAAATAGGTGTAGAGAAGACTGCAGTCCACAATCATTCACTCTTACACATACAGTAGACACAATCATATTTTGTCTCTCTGTGCTATACAGCAAAAAAGAAAGAACAATGCTCAGTGCTGCATGAAAACAATCAATTTTTCCCACTCAGATGAGAGAATGCGTTACTTTGATTAGAGTGGAGTTGTTTGAATCAGTGACTTTGATAACAGAGAGCAGAAATTAAATCACAAACTAAGTGTCGGGCTGCTTATGGGCAGAGCTGGCAGTGCAGGAGGGGTGAAATGACTTGTGCTACCTGTAAACCTGCCCATAAAACAAATTACCTCAGAAAAATTTGTTCCAGTAGGTGTCACAGGACAAAGGCAGAGGAAGTGGAGAGGCATCGACGGAGTGACACACACAGTTAGAATTATATTTGGTATTACACTGTTAGGATCCACACTGCTTTAGACACTTGTGTGTTAAAGGAACAGTTTAACATTTTGGGAAAAACACTTTATTGCTTTCTTTCTACAAGGTGAGATGAGCAGATCATTTTAACAAGTAGTATACCTTAGCTTGGTGTAAAGCCACAGAACTGAGGGCAACAGCTGGCTCTGGCTAAGATTCAAAAATACACCTCCAAACATTACTACAGTTCCCCATGTCTCGTTTGTTTTCTCTCTACATGTGACTTAGAGTCTACAGCCATGCTAGCAGCTCTATAAGGCAGTGCCTTGAGCAAATGCCACCATCAGCATGCTAACATGCTACTGTTCACTTTCTTAGTTTAGCCTTTCAGCATGCTAACATTAGCTAATTAGCACGAAACAAAGTACAGTGGTGGCTAATAGGCATGTCAGTTTTGCACATATTAAAAATTAAATAAAGTATATACAAGTTTTTAGAATATATAATTTGGAAACTATGAACACATGTACAAATTGTGTACCTATCCATCCAGTCATTGAAATATTTCACAGGATAAGTAGAAACTTTGACTCTGACGAAGAAGTTTCCAGTGTTGCCAAGTAAAACTAACCACGTCCTGAATCTAGCGGTCAACACATGAGATTATCGATCTTCTCACCTCACTCTCAGAAAGACAACAAATGTATGTATATATATTCACAAAATGTTAAACCATTTCTATGAGATGGCACTCAAAAATCAAAGCTGCTTAGGTGAATTGCTATTGATCCCACTCATCTAATGAGACCTTTTGTATGCAAACAGATTTTCTTTGGACTGCTTACAACTTTAACCTCTGTATTAACAGCCTGAAACTAGCCATTTCCAAATGCCATGGAGCTAAATAGAAAGCCCTTTAAATGACTTTAATATTACTCCTCAGCCTAGAAACTAGCATTGACATTTGAGTGCAAATCTCCGTTAGAGAGCATTCCAGATATCAAGTATTACATCACTTACATTTAAATATTCACCCACAAATCAATTCACCATCAGTGACTTGGCCATGCACAATGATTGAGTGAGTACTCCGTGTGAATTAAGACTCATGCAGCCCTTCCCAAAGTTCCCATCAAAGTGTCAGACAGTCATACAGAGAGGCAGACACTGTACTGTACCATATTGACTATAGATTTTATCATAATTTTCTCCTCGGCACCCGCCTCGCCTTCTCTTATCTTTACCACCGGTACCTCCATTACTCTGATGGCCTGTAAAAACCAACCAGCAGGAAGTGCATGTCAAACACTGGCATTTTAAAGGAGGAACAACAGAAAAGAAATGGGGAAGGGCAGTAGGTTGAGAGAGAATGAGAAACAAAGAAAGAGAAAGAAAGAAACCTAGAGACAAATTCATAAACATTAACCTAACATGAGGACAAAATAGAGGCTGGGTTTAGGAACGCAGGAAGCAGGAGGCGAAGAAGAGACAGGGAGGGGTCCGTGTCCTTGTAAAGTCTAAAGACAGTGACTTCAAACAAATATCACAGCTTCAGAGGGGGTAGTCTGGGGAGGAGAAGAAATTTTTGTTAAAAATTAATATAAAAGTTCAAAGCCCTGAGGAGGGAGGAGGAGAGGAGGAAAAGAAGAGGACAGAAAGAAATGGTGGGGGGCCCTCTTTTTCTGTGGGTTGCATGAGCACTGGCGACGGGCGGTCAGGCAGGCAATCGGGAGCATTCTGATGGAGCTGTCGGCGGATGTGTTTGGATGTGGCTGCACTGCAGATTGGCAGGGAGAAATAGATGATTTAAGCAGGAAGCCTTCAGAAGTGACAGGGCTCAGGAGACCTGGAAAGGAAGTCATTCTAGCAGCACTTAGTCTGCCGCCACGCCTCCAAATCACCTTCACATGGTGCTACTCAAAGACGCAAAACTATGCTGCTTACTGGAGCGGACACAAACACGCAGGGATATACACATATACATCCCCATGAAAAAGTCATTTTGACAGGATGTTCTGCTGTATGTATGCATGTATCAGTTCAATTTGTGTTTGGTTAAAAGGAAATAGAATATTAACCACACAGTTTCTTGGTTATGTAGTGAGTTTCCTGTCTGCTGAAGAAAAAAATACAAAAATGGATGGACTAACATTGATCATGTGATGAGTAAGGCTACAAACGGTCGATTTAGAGATTTGGAGAAAAAAAGACAGCCCTTCAATCCGACTACTACGACCTACATCAACCCACCAGCTACTTAAAATAAAACAAGACACATTGGACACTGGTGAGCTAGCATAAATCAAGTTCATAGGCAAGTTCCACCTGGAAACTTTTAGCCTAAAACTTTTTTAAGCGTCAAATGCTAATACCCAATGTATGAGCAAAACTAATCTGTGCCGTCTTCTTAAGTTAAGCTGACAAGAGGTTATGTCTTGTTACAAGGAGTAAAGCCGTGGGAGTCGACAGTACCTGTGCAGATTCTAGTTCCTTCAGTATGTCAGGAAGCTTGCACTAGCTAGCCAGCTCACTTGTCAAATAACAGCCGGGTCCATCGCTGCATGAGATAACTTATATTGTTTGACAATTGTTTTTGTTTTTTTGTATTTGGTAAATATAAACATGGGCTACTACTTTATAAACTCAGTGCTGAGACTGAGATAGTTCACAAAAACCAAACAAATGATAGTGTATCAACTAGAGGTGGGCGATATATATCGTTTGCGATAATATCGTCGTTGTTTTGACGATGTGTAAATTTCCATTATCGAGTATTTAAATTAGTTAGCCAAAAATATTGAAACGCACGCGGAAACTCCTCACATCCACTTAATACACGGTGCAGCAACGCTCTCTACAGCATGGCAGGATTCAGTCACACGACTAGTGGGCCTACATGATCACATGACGTGATCACATGACCTCTTGCTAGCATCCTCCTTGCAACAGTTTAGCAGCGCGTTGTGATGGTAGAGAGAAAATGCGAGCACCTCCAGTCCCTGTAGCAACCGGTACTTCAGATGATTTAGTGCCGATACATGGGTCTACCTCTCTGGCATGGAAATGGTTTAGTTTCGAAAAGACTTTTTTAGCGCAGAGTGCTTCTAGTTGAAATCTGTTCAACTTTTAACACCGCTGGGCGCTCGGAAAACACTTTTTGAGCGCTCTCAGCACTATAAACGCGTTTGGTGGACACATGTCCTAACTCAGAAAATTCCAATCACATTTTAAAGGATATCGACTGATTATCGTTGTCGCCAAAATCCCCCAAAAATAGAATTTTTTGCCCAGATCGCCCACCCCTAGTATCAACATGAAACAAAATTCTGTGATTTCTTCTTGTGCCCCCATCACTTACCCCTAATGACTTAATGTATTACATAAGAAGACCTTGGTCTCACTTGGTGACTAACAATAGAGGGACGATCGCTCCCAGGGCAGCAACTGCTTCAAAAGCAAAGCCAGGTTGGGGACAGATGCAAAATGACTCAAAAGGAGAACAGGCTGTTTGACCAAAGCTGTTTACTGAATCACAGGCACAAAGAAGTATACAAACTGTGATTCGCAAACCTTATTTATTATTATTTTAACAAAAACTAGTTAATGGTTTGATTTAAAGATGCACTAAGGCACGTAACCCTGCCATTTGTCACTGACAGAGTAAATAACAGCATCATGCATTCAAGTAAATCTATGAGCTTTGCTGATGATGCTGATCAGTAGTGAATGTGCTTTATGTTGCTTAGGAAAGATATGTGGACAATGTGGTACCTATGGTGTACCTGGTCCGTGCTTATAAAATGCTAAAATGGGTCATCAGCCATTAATAGAGCTCAATAGTGACTGCCCACTTTTTGAACAGTTCATTAATTTACTCCACTGACCATAAACCATAAAACCATTTTGGATGATACCAATAGTAGCGCACTTCTTATTGAATTTAACCATTGTCATTATTATAGTGTTTATATTCTTAATAATAGTGTTATTATAATATTTAGGGACCGAGCACTGACCAGTGCAAGGCCCTTTGTTATTGAAGGAATTATTATTTTCTGCCTCTTCGACCTCATATTTGGCGGCCGCAACATGCTCGAAAAGTCGGGCAAAATTGCACAAAATTCAAACATAGCGAAAATACCGGTATGCAATTGTCCCTGTGCACAGGCACCACCAAATGGCTAAGCCCCGCCCCCCCCGAATCAGCCCTCAAGATGCGTACGGTCGACATGTACAAAAATTGGTACGCATGTGTATTGTAATAAAAAAAAAGCAGAAAAGTCTCTTGGACCCATCCCTTAAACTAAACAGGAAGTCGGCCATTTTGGATTTAGCGGTCATTTCTGGCTATTTGCACACGTTGTATTTGAACGAACTCCTAGGGAATTTATCAGATCGACTCCACACGTGGACACAGCCATCTAAACACACTCACCATTAAAAATTGTGCTATTTACCTTATTACATCAAACATCGTGGATGTGGAGTGGCTTCCCGTGGCGTGCAATTTCGATCCTTCGCCATAAAAAGAGGGCTTTGTCATAACTTCTGCTAACATGATCCGACTGCAACGAAACTTCACATGTTTGATAAGAGTCCCGCCCTGAACACGTCTATTTGACAATATTCAGATATAGTGAGAGCGCCACCTACTGACAAGAGGAAGTAAGTGCTGCGTGGCAATTTTGATCTTACATGATATTTTAATGTTGTGATTCTCATGTGTTACGATCGCACATGACACGGCCGCAGCACACCCCGACACGCTCCGGCTGCAAGGTCCCGTTCAATGCTGCTTGCCAGCTTTAATTTGTAATTGTGTTTGTGTATATGTAGTGTAATGACAAGAATTAGTGCAACTCATGCAGTTTCATTTAGACTTGTACGCTACCCAACTGTTCACGGTTAACATGTCCCTGGTAACAGCTAGCTCTACCAATCAGACACGTTGCTGTTGTTCTTTAGGATTGTGGGTACTCGATGAGATCACAGATAAAACATGTAGACTTGTAGCTTCTAGAGGAGCATAAACCACAATCTCATAGCTCATGGTAAGTCTAGCTTGGATGAATACATCAGCATGGCTTATAATAGAAATCCCCAATTCAGAATATGAATGGGATTTTTTTGGAACCTCACTCTTGAGCTCTATATACTTGGGTGGCCGACCTAAGGCAAAGTCTAAAGGGAAAACACTGAAAACCAAAAAAAACATGACGCAATAAAATATTGATTTGGGCGTTTACCATGGCAACGGTCGAGGCTTTGAAGCATTTGGGTGATGTCAGATACATAATTTTCACAATCAACAGATACCCAATATTAAAAAGAACTAAGGAAAAGATCAGTGTGAAACTTTATTGGCATATCCCTAACATGGACCAAAACTAATGACACAATGAGGCGCTCAACATAAAGTCAAACATTACAATGTTTATGACCAAGGTCTCAGTCCCACTGGTAAAATTGGGGCCAGATTTATGGAACCTGAGCTTAAAGTATAAGACATTTTTAACACATTATGGTGTACCACGTTAGAGCTTTTATTTTTCTGTAAACCTTGTTCATTGTTTTAGATCATGTAATTTGTGATTGATGACCAGCTGAACACAAATACCAAGTAAGGTCCCCAGCCATTTTGGCATACACTAGTAGTCAGAATTGTGCGAAAACTTAAAAAATACACAAGGTAGGCCGATATCATCTCAGTTTTTCATTAATTTCTGTTTAGAAAGCTAAATAAAAGTAATTTTTAATAGATTTAGATTATTTAAGATCCTGAATACTGAATTCACACAGCCTTCAGTCTCTGCAAATCAGCCATGTCCCACATTCGAAAAGTATTAAGCTAATACGACAATAGCCATCGTCAGGGAGAAGAAAACACCATATTTGTCAAAAAAGCAGCCTATAAAGTATAAAGGCTTGTTTTACACAAACATCCTGCAGTTATTGTGTGCACTATTTGGGTTCATTGTACAGTTTATCAGTCAGGGGTTGTCATTTGACCTAATAGAATGAAAAAGGTTGGGAAACCACTGCCATAGGTTGTATATAAAGATTCAGAGCGTGCACAGAGGAGGGGCTATTCACAGATGGGTCCACTGTCCATCTGTCTGTGAGGGATAAGGATAGGCTGAACAAATCAATAAGGTTTTACTTGTTTTAAATAGAAAAAAATACAGAAAATCAATATGTGGCATTCGGCCACAAATAAATCAATGTATGGGAAAGTTGTATAGTGAGTTGTCTCTGTTGGGCTGATATGTAGGTAGTCAGGAAGACGAGTATGGCTGGGATGTAAACATACCAGCCACAGTCAGGAGCTGTTCATAAAACTCTCAAGTCACTCATCTCTATGCAGGAGCAGCTACATTTTAATACTGGAGGTTGTGAGTGCTCTGCAGGCTGCCTAATATTACACCCAGACCTCCGTATTAGCATGCCTTATCTCCACAGACAGGCAGTTGTGTGTCCGTGTGAGAGAGAGAGAGAGAGAGAGAGAGAGAGAGATTGTTGCAAAGTGAGTGCACTTCTCCCTTAAATGGACTCACTCTAAAACGCATCTTGACAATGTTACTAAATGAAGGAATAAAGAAAAGCATAAACAATCTCCAAGTATAGGAATATAAGTCCAAGTGGCTAAAGGACCAGTGTGTAGGATTTAGTGGAATCTGGCAGTGTAGCTGTAGATTAACCCCCTTATTTCACCTTCCCATTCAAAGCATGAAGGAGAAACAACAGTGAAACACGAAACCTTATCAAGAGCCAGTGTTTTGTTTGTCCCTTCTGGGCTACTGTAGAAACATGGCAGTTTAACATGGTAGACTCCATGGAAAGCCTCCAACCCACAGCATCTGTAGATATAAAAGGCTCATTCTAAAGGTAACAAAAACACAATGATTCTTATATTCAGGTGATTATACACTAATGAAAACATTGAGGAGGATCTATATTCCATTTCTGACAATAGATCCTCCTCAAGGTTACACACTGGATCTTTAACCGAGCCACTCAGAGAAAGGAGGCAAAAACACACACCCCTGTCTACATTAGTGGAGCTGAGTAGGAGCAGGTGAACAGTTTTAGGTCCCTGGGAATAAAAATCACAGAGAACCTGTCATTGTCATGTCATATCTCCGCACTGGTTAAGACAGCTGCTAATTTGCAGTGCCAAGTTCTTGTTAACTTTTACAGAGGAGCAAGGGAAAGCATCTTGACAAGAAAGAAATACCACAAACTGGCATGGGATGTGCATGGCCCAGGACATGAGTACTCTGCAGTGGGTGATTAAAATGGCTAAAAAAACATTCTGATTTAGATGCATTGCCCACCTGAGACCACATCTGGGGGAAAACACTGAACATTCAAATTCTGACGGCAAATTTAAAAAACAATGGACACTGTCAAAAGGTTTCGCAACTACGGACAGTTTTAACCCAGAAGCATCAGTATCGTCCTTCAAAACAAAGGTTTGGGTGTGCTACTTATCAAACTCAGCAGCATCACTCAGCAGTGATGTTGGCCGGCTCACATCGTGGAGGACTGCCAATTTAATGTAAGCCAGTAGACCACAGTGGACCTTCAGCATTAATAGAGGAATGATGTACCTGCAGTGCTTTGACCAGCGCTCCATTTCTGCCCGCTTCTCCCACCAGAACAACCCTCGTCTCCACTTTTGGCAGCATATCTGAGAGAGATGAAGAGCAACAGAGTGAACAAGGGGGAAAGGGGATGAGACACACACGCACACAAAGAAGACTCTGGGAAGAGACAGATCAAGGAGCAGGTCGTTTCTAGGAGGTGATGCAAGTTTTTCCTCATTTTGACTGACAGCCTGGGGGTTTCAGCCAGACAATACACCTATATCACTGATTAAGAGGGCAGAGGAAAAAAAAAGGTAAAAAGTATGTTCCCTTCCAATCCCACAAAAAAAGATGATATGGGTCCTCATTGTGTTCAAAAAAAGCATGTTAGCTATTGCTACCAGCCTATTAAAAGAGCTTTAAGCTTTACAAATAAACTCTCATTATATCATACTGACTACACAGACAGCAAGTCATTTTAGACTCAATAGTTATAGCATTATGAGAGGAAAGCGAAAATATAAAATACCCCTAAAATGAACTCTGTTACCAGTTTATTAGCAGGGTTTAATCCAGAGCTCCAGACCTCCCTGCAGCCTTGTCTCCCTTCAAATGAAAAATCAATGATGTTTGCAGGCTTTCATCATTAGAGCTGTACTCAACTGACGTTAAAGGACTTGTCACAAATTTCACAGCAAAATCTCTTTATTGCAATGGAACCACGGTGATTAGCGGGTTCACTTGCAGGGGCAGAGGAAATCCACACACATTTTGTGCGCAAAGTTCAACTTTTTTGAGCTTCGACCTTGCGCCAAGCTGTGATAACAATGCTGAGACTCAGAGTGTGTTTATCCTGTTAGAGCACAAACTGCAATGCTAGGGTCATTTTTATACAAAGACAGTGAGTAGACGTGTATGTGTCTTTTGCCATTCTGTGATACACAGTCTAACATCAGACAGATAGTTAGGCTCATACTCAGTAATGAGACAAAGTGAAAGTTACCTGGACGTAATCCCACTTATATAAGTACATGGGTAGCCCACTGCCACTGGATATTACCATGGTAATGAAAGGGTAATGTGGTTAAAGCCCAAACAGGCTGATCACAAAGTGAGTCAATCCCAACAACACAGTTCTCATCACTAAATGTGTGCTAATTGGTATGATGTTCTAGATTAAGATAAACTTTTAAGCCATTTTAAATTTTCAACTAAAATTCTAAGAGCTGATTAAATATTTTCCGAGGCACAGCCCCGGTGAATCAAAGGGGGTGTGCTTTACTGCAGTGGCATTCTTTCTGGATGTCAAAATAAGGCACAAACGAGCTGTAGGCTCAGTAACTTCAGTGAATGACAGGAGATGTAATCCAGTTTAAAAACCCTTACTTAAAATGTGCTCCAGTGCCTAATGCAGCTCTCTCAGGGTGCAGGGACACAGCACACACACCCAATGACTTTCTTTTTTTGCCATCGTCCATAACATGCTGGTAATTAGAAATCCAATTTATTCATAAAACAATACAACTCAAAAGCACCGCAAACTACAGCCAACAACCAATATGACTATGAAGTTGAAAACTATTTCAAGGCTGGGCTGGCAGGGCTGTAGACTACATTCATTTTGGCTTAATGTATGGGTACCTAATAAACTGGAAAACTGAGTGTAGCTCTGAACAGGAATGTCAAGAATTACTTTACAGTGCCAATTACTTTTCAGGTTTTACTACGCTGTTTCTCCACAGCCTTTTGGAATCTGTAGCAGTGCTGTGTTTGGCTTTCTGTTACATGCACACATACATACATTAACTCTCAAAGGTTTGGGGTCACCTGTTATATTGACCATTTTCTCTTTCCTGCAATAATGGCTATTTCAGCATAGATGAACAGAATAAATCGGGCACATTTTAAATAGTTTTGGTCCCAAAAGCAGAATTATTAAATTACTGAAACGTCCATTTATTCAATGACCTCTTTTTTTAACAACGCAGGGTTCATGACGAAGTGTCTCAGGTTTATTACAGGTAGGTGGTCAGCGTTTTATGTGGGACACGTTTCGCCTGCTCACTCGGTCACGTAGAACTCATCAAGTAGGTCAAGCAGAATTTATCTTGTTTCGCGGAATATTCAGGGATGTGACAAATAGTTAAAATTATATCCAGGATTTGTGTTTCCAAGACCAGTCTCTAAATTTCCAGGGCATGTGGGAACCATGCCAGTCCATAAAAGAGGCCCTAGATCATCAGTGAACCACAACAGTGCAACTGGGCTCTAAATATGGGAACCTGTTTTTCTCTAGGCCCTCTGCACTCTGAGTGGTTGGATTGAACAGGTTTTGACTGTGATTTGTCAGTCAGCTGATATTCCATGATCCATTTCCAACAGTGCTTCTATTTCAATTTAGAAATGTTAAGGGTAGCTTTACTAAAGCAACAGGCCTGTTAATCCCTGCTTGCTGTATGCTTTATTATAAGAAATCATTTTCTAGGAGTTTTTCTTGACAACACAGGACAACACTCACAAACAGCCAAATCATTTACCGGTAGGTCTAGTGTTGACACATTTAATTCTAGTTTATTGCTCCTTGTTTAATGATGCAGGTCCAACATGGAGTGTCTCAGGTTAATTACAGCAGGGAGGTCAGTGTTTGTGAGACAATCAACGTTAGCTCGCTTTCGTGGCACGCTTGGCCCCAGCTGATTTTTCCTCTAACATAGTTAGAGACGTTTTTTCTGCCCTTTCAATCATCAGTCTGGCTGAACCATTGTACAGCTTTTTGTCCTCAATGTACAAAATATTACTGTTTTGCAAACCCTTACAAAATATCCTCTCTTTGTAAAGATGACTTACTACAACTTCAAAACATCAAAGACCATTCAAAAATATAAAGTAGTCCTCTCTGCCATTGGACTGTACTGATTCAAGCTTTTGTGGCAGGTGACCCCAAACTTTTGAGCAGTTGTGCACATAGTAGATCCAGATTCTTGCACACTATTGGGTACACTGAGAAAAGGTTACATATGGTGTATCTGCAGTTTTGTTGTTTAAAACACCAACAGCAGTTTGTTTTGTCTTTTTAGATATCTTCAGAGGAGTGGGAGAAAAAACCGTGACCCCTGCAGACTGACCTTCCTCATCTTCACATGCCAGGCCCAGAAATACATGGTCCTTCGTGGTTTCGGCGATCCTTGAATCATAGACAGAAGAATCCACCAGCAGACTTCGAGCCGTCCCTAAAGTCAGTATGCTGCTGTCAGCCATGGCAGGAACTTCAGGAGGCACTAAACTGTCCAAACTATCAAAAGTTACAGGGAACAGAGAGACACAGAGAGACAACACAGCGAGGCAGAAAGGAGGGAGAAAGCATAGCGAAGAGGAAGAAGAGGAGATGGGTGAAAGCGGTCAAAATAAAGGCGAGAGACACAACTTCAAACACAAATACATAAAAAGGTCTGACCGTTCAACTCAAAGCAACATGTTTGTGAACTGTGATAACTTTGGTAAAACTAGGCAAGGTGGATAAAAAGTTTAGTGAAGCTTTAAATATTTGGTTGTTAACTGAACAAATAACCGAAACAAACTTAAAACAAACAAAAACAAACTAACATATAAGTTACATTAAAGTAATTTAAAAGGGTTTTAATTAAGATATAAGACAAGTAATTGAGAGAGTCTAAAGGCACTTATCTTTCCCAGTAGGAGAATAAACTGAAAGGATACACCTTATAGATACACCCAGCGCTAGCCCGGTTAACGTTAACGTTAGCGGCTTCCACCAAATTCCCTTCGCTTAACGTCACCGGAGGTTAGCTAAGCGCTTACGGCTGGTTTCAAACAGCTCCATACAAATAAACTCAACGTAAACCAAACTTACCAACTGTTTCGGTGACTGCTACCTTAGAGAAAAATAAAAATAAGAAAAAATAGGGGCTAAACTGGCTGAACCAGTTCAATTCAATAAGCTATCGAGCTAACTTAGCTAGCTACCGAGCTAGTAAGTCAACAATACAACTCCTGGGAATTCCTCTTCGGTCCAAAACGACTCTTCAAAAAATCTGTAACGTCTCTCCGTTAAATCTGAAGTCTGTTATCTGTGCATGTTGCCCTTTAGGTGAGGAAATAGTTGTCGAAATGCAGCTGCTTTAGTTTGTTGACAGCTAATTAGTTCATGGTAGAGCAGAGAAGTTGTCAGCCTGCTGTTAGAGCTCAATTCAAAAAGCAAGGCAAACAACGGGGCCGCGCGCTGATTGGACAGGATTGACGGAAAGCCAGCGGTTTCCGTCCGGCGCGGCCGCTGATTGGTCCGTTCATTCAAATCACGATGCGCACTGCGATTGCGTCCCAGACTTGCGACCTTCAGGTACCGTCGGAAATATTTTATTACTTTCCGAGACGAAAAAATAACGTGGATAATTAATTGATATTATAGCCTATTGAAATTGTATTTTACATAAACTACTTGTACCAACATAATTCAACAATGTGACCATGTCAATGAAACTATACAACTTAAACATTTACAAATAATTATTTTTATTTATATTGTTGTTGTTGTTTATATGTTTATACATTATAATGTAATGTCTATTATTCTGTTCAAAATGTATATAAATAGGCCTTTAGACCTACCTAAACCACAGCAAAATAAATGAAAAGAACAGAATTTACAAAATGATGCTGCTCTTGTAAATAAGCAGAAAACTGTGCTATTTAACTGTGCCTTTATTTATTAAACAAAACAATAAAAGCAACATTTACCAAAAAGAGTTCTGTTAATCTCGAACAAAAACACCTGACCTAAATAGTTTGGCAAGCAGCATTTAGAAATATTGAAGTCAGATTATGTGGTTTACGAGGAGTACCTGAAGGTAACAAAAATATGCAACCTGGGATTAGTTGATTTGACAGAAAATCCTCCAACTGTAATGTTAAACCCATAAACTTTATAATAGTTCTATATATATAATAGAGTTATCAAACCATTTTGTTTACTACAAATGGCATCAGTTCAAACCTCTGCTCCAATATCACAGACCTTGTGAGTTGATGTCAACTACCTTGTGTTCCTTTGTTACGACCTACCCCACTACAGTAAATTGTAACAATTAGACAAAAAAAGGGAGGCCACACTGTGTTTACTCAAAAATAAGTTTATTAAAATAAAAGAACCTATGTCGAATGAAAGAAAAGGGACTAGAAAACCTGTGTACATCAGCAAAAAGTTTTTCAGTTTGTCTGTCAGCTACACTTACCTGTCATATGCTCATGTGGAGTCCATCCATAACTCAGGCCTGCTGCCTGAGAATAGTCACCTCAGAAGAAGCTATTTTGTTGTGGGGATTAAGTGGGTAAACACTGAAGTGATCACATGACTCCTATTTTATACCTGATTGATGAAATTGGTGCTGTTATAACTCCCCTCATGTTACAACCCCAGCCGTCTCCCTTATAGAAAAACAGAAAAAAAGATTTAAAACAAAATGACAAGGTGGTTGCATAAATGTACAGCATATATCCATGCCCTGGAATAAACACTGGGCTCAGGTTACAGACACAACACCCATGCAGCTAAATCTTGGCAACTATGAATATGTAATATGAATATGTAAAACATATTGTCATTGTTTATTGTTTGCAAAAAGGCTGATTTCAGAAGCAAATCATAATCACATTCTAGGCTTTTGCATTGATTTCATTTTTAGACGTGATGCAACGTGATGTGTCTGTATCTATAATATTCCCATGGGGATTTGCGGGATCTCAAGTACATTATAATGCCTAAAATAATAATAATTCCTAAAATAACAGGATTTTATATATGCGTATTGATTTTTCACAATGATTACTGACACACACTTCACTTTCTTACATGTTTCATGTATGCAGGTGTCTGCAACCCTTCTCAGAAGTGGCTGTATCTGTACACTAATCCCGTCAAAAATAAGATAGTGTGGGATGCTTGGATTTCACCTCTCAGACTAAAGGGGAAGTGAAGAGCACATTTCCACAGGGGTTTTGTATGAAAGAGAATGATTTCCGAACGGCCCAGAGCTCTGCCAACTGGCAGTTGTTTCCCCAACACAGTGACACAAAAGGCAGACAACAACCTGTCTGCTTTAGGTTAGGCACATACACACGCAAACAAAACCCACCCTTATGTTACTTCACTAAAAATGCACAACTGAACTTTTCTACAGATTTATTTTTGAAATGTATATTTGTATAGGGACATGTATAAAGCATGAGACTAGAATATAAATCTTTATTGTTCAGTCTTGTGGAAATTCATCTTTGGCTTCAGGGCAAGGCACATGGTGTAATACAAATGGATATAACAAAGGGACATGACAAGCACACATACTTGAAAACGTCCCCTGCCATGGGTGAGAACAGTTGCTCCCAACCTGGGGCAGCTTCACAGGGGGTCGCAAAGCACTCTTGATTTTAAGGGGTGTAACACAGTAGGCCTACGAATTTTTCACCTCAAATATTTTCAGAAACATATTTTAGTGTAATGTTTAGCTGCAATATGTAAAAGTTTATTGGCAGGCTGCCATGTCAAAAATGGCAGATCCAAAACCAAGCACACCTCCCAACTCACAGTTTTGTCAGCCACCAGCGTTCAGAGGAGCGTTCAGTGGTCCAGTGCGTTCAGATGCATCCTCTGTTTGTCTTCATCATTACATCACTAAAGTCATGTAACATACTTGTTTGTCTTCCTTCTTTATGATGCGGGTGGTGTGACAAAGCAGTGTCTGTATTTGACGACCTGGGATGAGGACGTGCTGGTATGTGATGACCGTTCCGCCAACACGTACCTTTTTTGTAGGGCTGATGTGAATGCTTCGAAGTTCCAACTGTTGCTATGGTAATCAACATCTAAATCAGTATTTGGATGCTTCTTCTTTAGTTTTTGTTCTGGTTGACTCCTTATCCTGCAGTGTTTAATAGACTTTACTTGGGCGTGCCATTCAGGTATACAGCCAGCATCCCACTTTAGCATATTGCAGGGACACGCAGAGAAGGGACAGACGTTATCTGGCATCATGTTAGAAGACACGGACAGACAAACTTTTTCAAGATAACTTCGCTGTGTCAGAATTCTATTAAAGCATGCATGGTCTTTTAAACATTCCCTCTCCATGTTATAATCTGCAAAGAAATCCGATTCAACCAAAAATTCATTAAATCTTAAACCCAGCTCAGACCAAACATTAATGGCGAGACAAAACAGTTGTAGAACGTTGTATGGAAAAGTTGCAGTGCTGTAAACTGGTTGTCTCAGCCCAACTTAAGCTGGCTGATGGCAATGCCTTTACTGTAATTACATGGTTTTGCCACAATGCTACATTGTCTTCAAATCCCAGTCCTCTTCCTGGAGGCTTGGCTAGAATGGAGGTACAGAGGGTCGTTGTTATGGAGAAGATGCTCTATCTCTTCTAGTTGCATTGGTGTAAACCGGCAGGGTATCTGAATAGAAGTTTCTACTTGTCTTGTTGGGAATCTTTGTCTGAACAGGGCATTGCAGGTCCAGTGTGTAGAATTTAGTGGTGTCTAGCAGTGTAGTTACAAATTGCAACTCCCTCACTTCACTCTCCCCTTTCAATCTCAATTAGAAACTATGATGGCAGCAAAACGTGCAAAAACGCGGGGCTACTGTAGAAACATGGCGGTTCAACATGGCAGACTCCATGGAAGGCGACCTGTGATGTCTCATTCTAGGTAACAAAAACATAACAATTTAATATTCAGATGATGATACACTAATAAAAACATACATATTAATATTACATTCCATTTCTGCCATCAAATCCTTATAAATATTACACACTTGTCCTTTAACAGAATCCTCGTCCTAATGTAGCTGCATGATGATGCAACAGCTTGACCTGAGTTTGGAGAATGTACCTCATCTTTCTGTCCTTGTGAAGTCTCTCACGTCACTGACTTAAACACACACAAAAGCACGTACACCCATACACAATGATGCAACCAGACAGACACAAAGTTAAAAAGACAAACAGACACACACAGTATGGCCCTTCGGGTAGCAGCATGCGGTCTGGAGGACAGTGAAGACATTCACTTTCAGCAGTTCCTTTGTTTTTCTTCTGCTTTGACTTTTGTGAGATCCTTAGTATGCTTGTCGCATTCCTGGGGCTGTCGGACCGCTCCTCCAGTCATCTTACTGACACACGCACACACAATCTCTGTCTGTCTCTCTGTATTCAGCCCTCAGGAGGTTCACTGTGCGGAACAAAGCTTTGTCAAGACCTTATCTTCCTTCTACCCAGCTTTGTCCTCTCTACACTTCCTCAAACCTTTATATTTCTAGCTCAGTCCTCTGCTCTTTGACGCTCACTCACCAAAACACACGCAAATATAAAAGATAGAGTCTATCCTTTCTTGAGATATGAGCAGGCCACCACACACATATAAAACAAGCAATATCAGTAAAACCAGAAGAACTCTTGGACAAACTGCTTTCTTGGGAGTTATATGCTACTTTTTGAGGATTATGGTCTAAATTCATCGTATACACCAAAGTAAGATAGAATTTTTTTTTCAAATTTCCGTATGAACATGTTCATCTTATAATTACCATCTTGTAACTGTACCTATCAGGACTGTTGGGGTAATTTTTGAAAATGTAAAAGCAATTTTTATTTTATATACAATATAGGCCTTAAATCAGAGGTCAATCAGAGGTTTTCTATTCATAAAAATAAAGCCAATTTAGGGTGGAAACTGAATGATATTTTAAATGTCTTCATGGACTTCATGGACAACATGGACAATCAGTGGATCAGTCCATGTTGGTGTAAGTAGCCGTTATTTGCAAGGCATTCGATCCAGACTCAAGCCAAAGTCCACATAGCTGATGTGGCGCGAGGATTTTGCAACAACTGATAGACCTCATAAATGGGACCAACAGTTTCTAGCTAAGAGTTTATTTGTAAGGTCTATTCACAAAAGCTCAATGCTAGTAAGCTTGCTATCGGTTCAGAACCCAATTATGTTCTAAACACAAAAAAAAATATTGTCCTGGTGGATTTCTACTCTGCATGCACTCATAAATAATTAGCAATCAAAAAATGTAGTAAAAGACTTTATTATGTGCTATATTTTCTGTCCATTCCAACTGATATTAATAGACTAAAATGTGTAAAACGCTTCCTCCTTGCCTCAGGGTCAGCCATTCTTGCTGAAAATAACAAAATAAAT